CAAGTTGCCGTCTTTATAGACAGCATGATTTCTTTTGTAATGTCGCGGTTCACTTGACTTATATTTTGGCCACCACCACTGACCAACTGACCAAGGTTTTATAACTGGAATTTTTCTAACGTCGTGGTTAGTTTTATAATGCCGCAAATCACTTTTTCAGCGTTTTTGAAATAATAATCACTACGGAAATGTGTCCCTTTTAGAACATCATAATATGTGTACGTGACCAAAATGCGCGTCAACTGTTGATACGAGGCGCGCGTATTTACGCGTAGAACGTTCGTATTAAAGTCTACTGTGTGAATGTTGTATGCATATCCGCTATCCAGTCTTTATATAGAGATCAGTGGTATTCTCCTTGCAGATGCCCAACAGTACTTCGAATAACAAACACTGAAACCCATGAATATCTTAACCCTTACCCTACTAGACCCTCCAACGCATGCCAATATGTGCCTCAAGAAAATCTCCTATGTTTTTTGCATGGCCCTCCAATATCTGCCATGTCATTTCAAGGGTAACTGGACAGGCACTCCAATACATGCCACAGAGAACAATGAGAGTCCTCTGATAACAAAGTGAGTGCCCCCAGCTGGTCAGTATCAGGCACCCTCCAGGGCCTCCAACTCCTGCCAATTGGAGCCTTCACTGTCAAGATAGTTTATCTGCCAATATACTGCAGCTGGAGGGCATTGGCATAACCAACTGACATGCAGTAAACTACCCTCAGAGAGTAAGGGTTAATTAAAGGGTTAAACTTTTGTTGCGTATGGGACATGGGGTGCGGGAATTCTTGGACTTGCCCACCAAATTATTCTGGCGTGTGGATATAATATGCCAGCAAAAAGTGCGTTATCTTCCTGAATTACAAAATGTAGCTTGTCCAAAATTCTCATTCAAGAACATAAACAAAGAAGGTATTCAAACCATAGAGTGTGCTGTTACTTTTGAAAACAAAAAGTGTGGACGTTTTATAAATTATAGTTAAAGTACCGGTAGTGCTACCATGTCGAATATAAAAATGACAACCTTCATGGAATTGTCCTGTCGGGGTCGACCACCACTTCCAAAAACAACAGTCCAAAATTAAACGTGTTGCAAGAAAACGCGCCGCAGTGACATCATCAAGGGTTGACCTTACCGGTGCCCTGAAAAAAAAACAAATCTACAAGTTGCGTAAATAGAATGGGAAATCATTTACCGACCCTTTAATTTCAGGGAGATCTCTTGATAGGTGCGTACATCCTCTGTGCTGATAATCACAGGAAGTTTTGACGATCGCAGGAAATGGGAACCTACTCTTTTTTTTTATGAGATTTGTGATGGGCTGCCTAGCGGCTGCAGTTATAAAATTGAAATCCGTGCATGCTCAGTACATGTAGGTTCGGCATTCTGGTTATGACGCTCATGAACGTGTGGTGACTGCTCATTTCCGTTTTATTAGCAAGGATCATTATAAATGTACTATATATATCGGTATGTACGGTACGCTTTGGATACGGACACGTTCACATCAGTAAAACTGTGTTGTTCTGATGAGTGTGGTAAACTGTGTCAAATCTACATTGCATCGGTATTAAGCCAACTTTGACAGGGATTTGTTTTTAAGCTTGCATCGCAGTACAGTCTTCACAGGTACATTGTAAGTTGTTTTTTCTTTAAAATTTTGGGTTTTTTTTATGATTAATTTTTTTGTACAGGCTAGAATGTTGAAGTTATCCAAAATTTGAATTTTGTTTTAAACTTAAAATTCCGTGTCCTGAAGACGGACGGAGCATACTGTCAGAAAGATGTTAAGAAGGCCGTTGGAAATGTTGGTTAATATTTTGAACGACAGTCAAAGTGTGTACTTGTATGTTTATGTATGTGCAGTACGTTCTGTTGTGTCACTGTCTTCACTTTGGACATCAGTAACTGTATCGGTGAAATTTGCTGTTCTGATGCTCATTGTGTGTGTGTTTCAAGTGTTGACTACATGTACATTAAAATGTATGTATTCGTGAGCACCAGAATTTAAATCAACATCACACACATTCCGTAATGACATCAGCATGAGACATCTTCTCTGACATTTTCTAATTGCACAGATGTGAATTCTTGCCAAGTTACTAAAATATGTTCATTTGGAATATTCTGAATCCTAATATTCCGTGTACCGATACAAACATTTACATCTTATTGCTCCAGTCATTAACAGTCTAAATCCTTGTTCGCAGTGGATTTTTTTTTAGTACCTAAAACTATAAACAGGGACTGTTTTCAACTTAAAAGAGACTGAATAAACTTAACCAAATTAAGTCCAGCGCAGAAGCTGTTAAACTCCTAAAATTGTCAAGTGTCAATTGTAAGTTTTGCGGTCCGCAGCGGTAAGTTTTACAGGGCCAACTGGGCTGCGGAAGAATTACATTGTGAATTTTTACTTTTAAATGAATGACTTTCTACAATGCAAAATCGATCCAAGTGAAAAACATAATGTACAATATGTACCGGTAGATTATCGATCGCGGTAACTTTTGAACTGCATGTTGGTTGGTTGGTGTGTTGGTGGGTGGGTTGGGTGGTTGGTGGACACTTTTTACTCAGCCATTAGTTTTACAGAGCATTCGAAGACCGGTTTTGCAAACACTGTTGCGCATGCGTCCAATTTGCATATTTTTTGCATATTAGATCACGCCCCAATCCTTAACGTTTTCTGTACTCTCGAGGTACCGATACGGCCCGGGTGCACGGACGGTGCCGTATAGCCGTCTTCACGCTTTACCCGGCTGCCGTGGGTTGTACATTGTACATTTGTACCACTTGGTACTTGTTAAATAAATGTCCAATGTGATCAATGCGACTTTAGTTATTGACAGTTTAGTTAGTAGTTTTCCCACAAGTTTTGGGACTGAAGAGTTACCGGTACATGAATGGTTTCATGTACAAATGTATGCTGCCATTCCTGTCCTAAATGCAGGTTAGGTTTTGTTGTACAGTTTCAACCGTATTGGATATGTCATTTACCAACACATAAAAAATTACCCATGCATGTGAGACTTTGCCTAAAACGATACACTTTGCACAGGTAAAGGTACATACGCACCTCATATAATTGATGCACTCGTTGTCTATATGACAACAATAAATTTCATTTCTGTGACCTTTGATAATTTGTAGTACTTACCAGAGAATGCTTTGTTGAATGTGAAGTGCACGGCGCACGAAGTTAAATGTTTATAGAAAGATTCAAATCAATACTGTGTCAACACATGTTTTTGTTTTCAAAACAAGGCCACATTCCTGTGACCAAGGGTGTAGATTTTAATGAATGTATTAAAGATGTGCGTGTCACAGGTTGATTGTGGTTTTTTTAATGATCAACCAGGGTCATTTTTCACATGATTGAACCGGTACTGGTACATACATGTACTTTTCTGTACAAATTATTTTGAAGTATGGCTGTCATCATGTGTTCGTGTTCGCTAGGAATGCAGAAAACATGTCTACACCATGCTATTTCTTTTTTAATTGCACTCTTTTTCATATTTTCATACATTGAAGGTATTTTCATGTCATTAAATTGCCACAAGATTGGAAACCCGGTAAATTTATCAATATATACTACATTTTAAAATTATTATTACAACTTGTTTATTTCTTTCTTTCTGGTACCCGGTAATGAAAGCTAGAATTCCCCAAAAGTGCACATGACACTGCACTTATCTGGCGAGCTGGCTGTATGCACAGAAAAACAACAAACAACGTAGTTATTACAATGTGCATATGAAACAGGATGAAAAAGTCCCTCGGTTTCCCTCATTGTCACATGCTGCAATATTTGTTTTAGTTGATAAAGTTAGATAAGTACTGTACTTTTATTATGTTTGAACTTTTGTTTACACTGGTATCCCATTCCACTTTGGGTTTTTACACAGTGACCTGTTACTTTCTTTGTTCTATACTTTAGCACGTTTCCTGTCCTTGTTACGGGGATTTTCAAACCTTTTATCGTTCCAGTTTAACCCTAACCCTGCTAAATGCAACAGAAAGCAACAAAGGTAAAAAGTTGTCGCATACCGGTACCTACCGCCACTGTTGCATTTAGCAGGCAATCAAGTCCCATGCTGTGTTGCATCTTGTTGCATTTAGCAGGGTATTGTGCTCATAGTGCCAAGGCGATACAAGAGTATCTGCTGTTGCAGTTTGTTGCATTTAGCAGGGTAACTACTTGATGCCAAGGCTGGTATGCACTGGGTTCACTGCACAATGCAACAGAATCCCCTGAACAGTTTGTTGCATTTAGCAGGGTTCTCATTTGAGTTGAGTTGGATATTGTTGCCTTTAGCAGGGTATCTGAAGAATACCCGATGGGGGTTAGCAGTCCTTCTGATTTGAGGCGTGCGATCACGCCCCAACAGCATCGCACACCTAAAAGCTTCCCGAGAAGTGTGAATAATTGCACGCCTGAATTTCCCTGGTGCACAGATCACACACCTAGAAAACCACACACCTAGAAAAAACACACACGTAGAAAAATCCAGGCGTGCCTTTTTCCACACGTCTGTGATTTTCAAATCAGAAGGACTGGGTTAGGGATAAAGGACAAATTTCTTTTGAACACTTAACAAAAGGGTATAAAAAAAGGTCCCCTTTTGTCCCATACATAATAACGCCATGTTTTCTTTCATTACAAAATCATCGCAAAGACTACTGGTAATAACATAAAAAAAACAGGCTTATTGGTATTCTCCTTGCAGATGCCCAATAGTAGAATAAAAAAACCCACTGAAACAGCAGAATTAAAAACACTGAAATCAATGAAAATCGTAGAGGGTTATGCTTTCGTTACGTATGGAACATAGTGTGTGTACTTGGACTTGCCCAAAAATAGACAGGTATCGGTACAAAAAATTGATTTGTGAATTATATAAATTTGATGAAAAAAAAAAAATAACATTTTTGTTAAATTTGTTATCGAAATGTTTCTAATAATTTTACTTTGTTCTCAATTCATATTTCAGATACATGTAGCCCTGCGTTGCAACCAAAGTCCCTAAGGCTCTTGCCTTTTCGGCCTTTTTTTCCACTGGTACCCAACGCCACCGGTTCACCATGCCTGAGCTAACCAGTGAGGAGATGACGACGCGGCTGTATGACCGCTTCGTCCAGGCCGGTACCTTCCAGTCGTGCATGGCTTCGTTCAGTCAGCTGTGCAAGCATCTAGGGCTTGACCCCAGAGAACAAAAGTGAGTTACTCAATGATTTTTAGATCTCTGCCTCCTGAACTTTCTTCCTCATTGAATTAATTACAATCTGATCCATGAATTGACAAATCCGTCCAAAACTGGTATTTTAACCCTAACCTTCCCAAATCCTCCAAAATCCTCTTCAGACAAGTGAAGGATTTCAAAGGATTGTATCGGTCGATTTTGGAGGATGCATTGTGTCAGGGTCTGGGCTGAACCTTGCGTTGTGTATGCTTAGCCATGCATACATGTCGTAGGCCTTGATAATACTTGAAATCACCCGCACTGCTTCTGGATATCATCAGCACTGCCTCAACGCATTATTGTTGGAGAATTTTGCAGGACTGAGGCAGTGGACACCCCTCCAATGAACTAGTTCAAGAAGTAACAGAGGATTTTGGAAGATTGAGGCTGTGTAGCCGTTAAGCAATTTGAGATATTTGGATATTCTTACATGTATATTTTATGATGTCCTTTACATGATCTACCAAATTTCAAGATGTAAAATTGCACCGTTCGTTAGTTACTCAAAGTGCGGCAAGTTAGTTTTCCTTTTGACGAAGTGACAATCTATTTCATAATACATGTAAACATCTCCTAATAATCAAACATGCTGAAATGAAAATGGATATAACTACCGGTACTGGGCTATCACATCAGTTACCGGTATATCTTTCAATTTTGGGAGAGAAATGTATACGGAAACGCGATTTGAAAAATTGACCAACTTGAAAACACAATTTTCTCAAAACTTGGTTTTGGTGCTGTGTGGGCAGATTTGTCACTTCGTAAAAATGATGTCGTCATGTCTGTTACATGTACCCATGCTCGACCACATCCTCCACGTCAGCCACACACACTCCAAAAAAATGCCAAGCTGCAATGCAATACTATGATGCATCACAATCTCTGTATCGGTGAACTGCATGTGGTATGGGCATGTAAAAACAAAACGATGTTAGCAGAGCAAGGGCTTTAAAGTTGTGTTCACAGTGCTATGTTCAGGTTTCATCCCGAAAAAAATTCTTTTTCTAAATTGCTCTTTTTCTAGTAGTACAGAAGTTATTCACTTTTGAATGAGACATTGACTTTAAAACATCGGACCATGTTTAGTTATTGAATTATTGCTTTACAATTTCGAATTATTGGCTGACAGATAATAATTCCGTTCTCGTGGATGGTAGTCTGTTTCCCACCCCACAATCAGTATCAATAATGTACGGACCAGGAGCCAGACTGTTTGTGCCCAATTGAAAAAAAGCAACTGTTTTTTTAGAGGGTTACAGGCATCCAAAAAAAGGGGAAAAGGAGGTTTTTTTGGTTGGAATAAAACATGTTTTATTAACCCTACACGTGTAACTCCCTCTAGGCATTTTTTTGAGGATGCCACCTCAATCCTGCAAAATCCTCCAACGTGCCTCCATGTAAAAATAGCATACAGCCTCAATCATCTAAAGTCATCCGTTATTTTTTGAATGTGGTCCTTGGAGGTGTGACCACTGCCTCAATCCTGCAAATTAAATCCTCTCTGAGCAATCACCGTCAATATGTTGAGGCAGAGCCAGTGACATCCTGGAGCAGTGCGGAGGATTTGAAGTATAATCTAGGCCTAAATTTATGCACAGCTGAGCATACATTTAAACAACACCAGGTCCATACCAAGACCTTTAGACACAGTGCATCCTCCAAAATCAGCCACACATTTTTGCCATAGAGCCTCAATCCTGCAAAATCTTCCGTTTTGCAATGAGGGTTTCGGAGGATTTGGGAAGGTTTTGAAAAAAAAAAATTGAAATTGTTGAAGAGCAAAGTGAACGCAACTTTAATGTTATGGAAAGTAAAAGAAGAATGGCAGTTATAGAAAGTATTATCAAAAGTTGCTAATGCTTTCATTTTGTGGTTTCTCATTTGCTTGCAGGAATTTCTACCATCAGTTCAAGTCTAAGGTGGGGACGTGGCAGGCCAAGTCACTTTGGGTCAAACTGGATAAGAGGTTTAACCGGAAGGAATACAAGAAGGGAAAAGCATGCTCAAATACAAGGGTAAGCTTAATATGATGCAGAAGGTCAGAACGTTCCTAAAAAGCAAAGTCATCATGGATTTTTTGATGTCACAGCAAGTTTTTCACGTCACGAAGTACACACATTTAATACATTTTAACAACAGAAACTTCTTGGAATGCTTTGTGATGTCAAATTCACATTGCGTTGGCATAATTTGCGTGAAGTACGGTACACATATCAAGCAGCTTTGAAACGTGGACATGCATCAGTTACATGGATCCGTGGAGTCTTTTCTATGCATGTCAAACAGGGATGTACAAAAATGTAGTTGAATCCATCACAAGTGATGGGGAGTCAGGTTGGCGTAGCGGTACTTTCCCCGCCTTCCACCGCTGTGACCCGGGTTCGAATCCCGCCTGGGCCAATATGTGGATTGGGTTTTCAGTCCCTGCCTGATTCCGTGGGTTTTCCCCAGAATATTCTTCTGGGCTTTTCGTCCCGCCTCTAAAACTGTAACTTCTTCTCATTGTCTTCTCTCCACAGGTTTCTTCAGGCTTGCGAGCTAAAGTGCCTAGGGCGCTTTTGAGGAATCCTTGGTTTCATTACCAGAAATGATTAATAATAATAATAATAATAATACAAAGTACTAGTGTGCATAATTTACGAGTAGTACGGGATCCGGGTACCCTATTGAAGTAAAACCTGGGTACCTGGGTACCCGTAAAAGGCGGTCTTATCACCCGCACACCGGTTTGTTTCTATAAAGCCCAGATGCTATTGGGTGTGCATCCTGCGCCATAGGGAATGCAGTGCTCACAAGCAATGTACATCGACTGGCTCTCACACAGGGCCCACTGGAGATTCCATGTGTAGATGATTACCAATACATGAAGGAAATAGGGCTTCAGCAATTATGATACAGTTGAATTTCAGCCAAGTTTCAGTTTTGTTCAAGGACAAAACCGGATGACTTTGCATGATTAATGATTACAATTGGAACTCCCTTTTTCTCCTGGCATATTGTTATATCACTGTGAAAACAATGACTACACAGTGTGACGTGTTATCTTTAAACTACCTTTAGTTTTGACATTTGAAAAATAGTTTATTTAACTGTTAACATTTTGGCAGGACTAAAAATCAAAGGGTTGAGTCGGTTATGGTTTTGTAGGCCTATTTAAAAAAAAAAAAATATGTTTTATTTAAAAAAGTTCCCCAATAATATACTGACCTTAAAATCAACCATTCAGGTATCCACAAAACTAATCCTTTAAAAAGATGAGTTATGGTCATTGTTCTGCGATTATTAAAGCACTATTAGTTTTTAGAGCAACCCACATTCACCTTAACTGCTCCAAATCCTCCAAAACCCATCAACTCTTTTTCACAATGTTTTATTGATTTAGGAGTTCGCAGTCTAATTGCTATTAAAAACATTTATCTGCCGTGGTTATTCCAACAAAAAAAAGTCGTTGAATCTTGCTGTGCACCAGACTATTTTAGAATACTGAACTCACTTATTTGGATGTGCGGACAATGGAACATGATGAGTTGGATACAGTATGAGACCTAGGTACCGAGACTGAAAGGGTGAGCGTTGGTGGCAGATCTCGTAGAATGTGCATGAGTGTGAGATTTGGGCACGATGGATGTCATTTCCTGTGAACAGTGACCAAAGTATAGTCGTGTTCCCTAACGTGGCTCACTTCGAAGCTTACCCAACTTTCCTCGTGTAGTGTTGCCAAACTTCTTTGTTGACAAACCTCAAATTCATGCAGTGAAATACTGGTACTTTGACCTTATTAATGCTTCCTATTTAACATCTGTGAACAATTTCAGTTTCATAAAATTTAAGCTGAAATTAGAAAACGGTGGCGTCCGGAAATTGGGCACAAATTGGCGGAGTGTTCCCTAACGTGGCGCACTTGAATAAATCTCGGAAAATTCCAAATTAACATTTAAGAATTTCTGTAAACTTGATAAATTCTGATAAAACATTATTATCTCTACTTACATACCCAGCCAGATGTTTGTCAGAAAATTATTTCCTTATTTTTCGGGGCATTTTCAAAGGGTTCACTTTGCACTTGAAAATAAAATCAGAAAATCACGCCAAAATAATTTTTTCTTTTAACTTTGTAGCGGGTAAATAAACTCGCGATTTATGAACAGGAGTGTTTAGAACTGGATGAAATTTCACTTTCTGTGAAATTTCAGTTAAAACTTTTGCTCTAGCTAGGCGATACAGCCGAAAAATCAAAGTGCGCCACGTTAGGAGCCGCGCCACGTTAGGGTACATCAACAATAGTAACGGTTAAAGACTGAAAGGGAAGCAACACAGTGGTGGTGGGCCTGAAGCTGGAGCAAGTTGGTGAGTCTAAAGTGATGGATGTTAACAGATTCAGGAAGAATCCCAGCAAAAAAAAACATGCTTTGGAGAGAAATAGTTTGTGGTTAAGCAACATGTACAGTTTTTTTTAAAGACACTAACTTGCTTGTATTTGCTCACAGGTTCTAGTCATCGGTGCTGGACCTTGCGGCCTGCGCACAGCCATCGAGTGCGCCATGCTGGGAGCCAAGTGCATCGTCATCGAGAAGAGGGACAGCTTCTCGCGGAACAACGTCCTCCATCTCTGGCCGTTTCTCATCACCGACCTCAAGAATCTCGGGGCCAAGAAGTTCTTCGGCAAGTTCTGCGCCGGTGCCATCGATCATATCAGTAAGTTTTCTTAATAGCCAGTGTCATTGTTCATTACATTGCCATGAATTGGAGAATAAGTGCACAGAGTGCTCTGAGACAAAAGGTTCTTTACCTGATCTCAAAAAAAACTCTGGATTTTGTTAAGGCTTTGTCAGATGCACATGATGTGTTTTCTAGTTGCTGTATTGAACCCACAGACCCTGAACAAACAATTGCAGCAGTACATACCAATTTACTTTTGTTTAGTAATAAAAAAATATAAAGACATTTTGAAATGAGGCTTCTCCCCATAAATAATGAAAACAATGCACACGTATGTATAGTGTGTCTTCTTGAACAAGACTTAGCTTGTCTAGTCAAACGGGACCCCAAAGTCTCAGTTTAAGATGGTACATATACGTATACATAGTGACAGAGTCATCCAGGTAGTGAGTCAGCCCTTCCCAGTTTGCCCCGGCCCAGTTTTCTCTCAACACTTTATCAACAAACACATTAATTATGTTTATTTTCTGCACTGTTAAGATTCATAAAATGTGGACACATTTTGGGCCAATGAAAGCATTATAAACATTGGTACTTTGGTAGACAGAACAGCCTGAACAGGTCACATGTGCATTTATACAGCCGTAGATAGTGTGCAGTCAACGTCTTTGAATATTTGTTGTACACCATTCTGCAGTTTGATACATTTCTCATTCATAAAAACGACTACACTTCTAAGTTGCTGCAGTGGCTTATTTCCAGACCATTGACAATGGGTATGCGCACGTACACAGGCTTACGATTTTATTTTGACTGTCCCCCAAAATTGTTTCCTTGCCCCCCCCCCCCCCAATTGGTCCCCCTCCCCAAATGTTAAAGTCTGGCGCCGCCACTATGAGTCAGTGACTCGGTCAGTCAGTGATACAGCCAATGGGCAGTAGGCTGGCCCTTTGGATCCAGCCCAAACAAGAAGAAACAATTCTAGTTCAAGCTCCTACTGTGGACTACATGTATATAACACCCATTTGTGCCTGTCTGTCACATTGTTGACTTGCTTCTATTGTGATTTTACTTTGTCATGTAATCTGTGATTGTTTGTCGCTACTCTGAAGAACTGCTCTGGTTGTATTAGGATCATACATGTACAGTATCTGAGTCCCTAGTTCTCAAACAATGATCTAACCCACCCAGCCACTCCCCCTTCTCCTCCCCATTCATGTTGTTTGAGCTGTGATTATAGAGGGCTAACTAGTACATGCCCAGTAGGCTTGCAATTGTGGTCAGGGATGACTACACAAGGGTTTTGGACAAACAGGGTTTTAACAACCATCAGAATTGTGGCGTGACAGTTTTTATGTTGGGCTTAAGAAGTGTGGTGCTTTTTGGGGGTCCATTGTGACCACCCGCTCTTTGTGTTTGTGCTGACCGACCTGTTTTGTATTCAGGAGTTAAAAATAGATCAAATGGCCCCTTTGCAGTCAAAGTAAATGTGATACATGTAAATATTAAAAGTACAAGTCTGTGGCTCTTTGCTAACAACAAACCTAGTGATTTTTTCCCCCCCAAACCAGCCTTTGGATTAAAGGGAAAATACAACATTTGCAAACATCAAAAAATAAAACTACCAAATCATTTTGAAATACCTTGCTGGACTGTTAGTGAATGACAGTGTAAAGCATCCTGTAAAATCATGGCACCTGGTATACTGTCATTTTCAAGAAAAGTGGTATTTTTGTATCAATTTCCAACGCTGATCGGCCGATCAGCGTTGGAAAAAGCTGTTTTTTTTTCAAATACTGGCCCCAGTTGACCATCGCACTAGTTTGCAATCGATTACACACCTATGAACGGGTACAAGCCAGCTAGACTGGTTCCCTGACCTTACAATTCCCCAATATATGTAAACTGCTCTGTTTCGTCTTAAATGGAGTCAGGGAACCAGACTACAGGAAAATGATTGTTTTTCTTGGTTTTTATAGCGTTTTTGAACCCAAAACCTCAAAAAAGTCAGTGTAACTATATTTGCTATATATTTCCAACCCCCCAATTCCATCCATTTCTGAAAATTACAGCAAAAGCAAATGATGTACATGTATTCCCTTTAAATATGGAGAGAAATTTCATTGAAAAAGACTCCTATCCTGAAATCCTACAATGTACATGTACAATGTGTGTATGTATACATATTGAATGACTCAGAAATATGTACATGATGGCATAAACTGATGCAATATTACAAAAATGTGATATTACATGTACATGTATACAGAACTTGACCTTTGAAAAAAACGCCATGTATTTTTTGCTTTTGTCAAATGCCATGCCATGTGTGTTCATCAGTAACTTGCAATGTTTATGACTCATGTATAACGACTTGGAGCTTAAATGAGAAAGTCCTGTGACACCAGGCGACAAGTATTTATTTTGCTGTGAAAGTCACACTCAGGCAGGTGCTTAGAATGTCACCAGCTACACTGTGTACACATGCGTTGTGTACATGTGAACTAATAAATGGCACAGAGCACATAAAAAAACGTGTTTACCATGAGCATACCAGTACCGGTATGTACATGTACATTGTACATAATCCTTGTTCTAATGACGTGAATGTAGCATGCATGCAATGCAAAATATGTCTGAATCAAATGGAATCTCAACAAAAATCAGAGCAACAGCTCAAAACTGATATTTTGTTCATGTGCAGCTTTCCCTATTTTCAGAAATAAATTTAAAAACAATTTCAGATGTACATGTACAGTATACACCTACCCATACAGTGATAAAAATTTCATATGGAATTTTTCCACAAATTTTTTTTTGCCTCTTGTACATGTATGTGATGTATACATTTCATTTCAGAAATGGTGGTTTTAATTTCAGAATGCTATAATTTTGCTTTTGGAAAATCTGATTTCAATGAACAGAGACGTCCTGGAAAGTGTAAGGAACATGTATCTCCAACAAACCAGGTGTTTCCAGATGTGCCTGTTTTACAATGCAGACTTGTAAACAGCATTATGATTTGACTGAAGTCAGGAAGTCCTGTCTTCTGGTTCTTCAAATATTTACTACTCCTTGAAGGAGTGTGCATTCTGGAGAGAGCAAAGGGATGTGCATACAGACATGTACATGTACATGGTACATGTACATGTCAGGCAACATATTGTCATAGGGCAGTGAACACAAATACATGCACCGGTACATGTATGTTCACCTGCAGTGGTCTTGGCTGCATCACATGTTAGTCACGTAATCCATATTCCCCGTGACTGATTGGCACCACAGGAGACCATGAATGCTCCTATTTTTAAGAATTGTATAACGTTACCTATAATGTGGGTTGGTTTCTCAGAATAGCCTTGTATTAATTCCTTCACTATGTAGACATTTTTTTCATCATGGCGTAGACTTTCAAGAAGAATTATTGGAGAAGAATAATAAAGTGGCATTCCTGAAGAACAGCACATAGCCTATGAATTGTATTGGAAGATATTTTCAAGTGATTCAAAAAAAAATTTTTTTGAAATTTGGTTGAAGAATTTGAAAGTGAAGAATTTGAAGGTAAAGAATTTGAAAGTGATCTTCCGTCAATGAATTCTTGAAATTAAAATTATTTGAGGGTGTGAAAATTCTTGCATCATACGGTAGCTACATATATTTGTGATTGTCTTCCATAACAAAATTGTTGCAATATTGTAAAAAAAAAAGAAGATTTGTGGGATTTGACGGAGAAAGAAATGAGTTTTTGTATTGACAATTGCAAGTTAACCCTACATGTGAAGAACATATTTTCAAAACGTGATACACGCCATTTTGTTCCCTTTTAAGAATCCTGCTGTCTCCTGACGGCCCTAAGTCAGTTTCGATGGATGTTAGATATTTAAACACAGTTTAAGAATACAATAAAGCACAGTTGTTACACTGTTTTGTATTCGTTAAATGTTCATTACCATTCAAATTTTGCACTTTTTTTCGAATGGCTATATTGTGTTTAGGAAAAGTAATCATTTTAACTTCTCAACATTAATCATTTTGTTGAAGCAGGTTGCAATCTCTACAGATCTTTATTTATTTTTTTACATCAGCCTAAATCAGTCGGTATAATTTTAAATACCCCTAAATTACACCTCCTTTGATGCGTTTATGCAGGCATCAGGCAGTTACAGCTGATTCTTCTAAAGGTCACGTTGCTCCTTGGGGTCGAAGTTCACACCAATGTGACCTTTGAGGCACTGCAGGAACCTCCTGAAGATCAAGACCAAGAAAGTAAGGAGAAATCCCCCGCAACTTGATGAGTGTGAAATGCCTTGATAGTGGAACGTTCCTAGAGCTGTGCATTTTCGAGTAATTTAGTATTCGATTATTCCAACTTCGACTTCTTCATTGAATATTCTAAATATTCAATTTCGAAATGCACTGATCAAGTTAAACATGCACCAGCCTACATTGGCCACTGACTGGGATTTGCATACATTGGCACTTGTTGAAAATTGACAAAAAGCTAAAAATACGTCGGTTGAAGAGCAAAACCCAATATTGAAGTTAAATCACCCCGACGCAAATTTCATCCTATGAATAGTTATGGACAAAGAGCTTATTAAACAGGGAGTAGTAGGTGATATTTGACCTTTTTTTACCATGTTTACAGAAGAATTTGTGCTAATATTCCTCATTGAAGCTCTAAAAATATGCGCGATAGTGGCTTTCAAAAAAGTGTGGCATTTGACAGACAATAAAACCGCACAACTTAAACTGTTTGATCATCTCATCATCAAGACTGCTCACATTTTTGGAATATTGAAAAAAAAACCAAAATGTTATTCAGATATTCAGTTGACGTCGCATATTTGAATATTTAGTAGATGTTCGGCACAGCTGTATATTTTTTATTTTACTGGCTGAGAGTCATGGCCTCGTGGTCTGGAGCATTGAACTCATAGCCTACGGGTAATTCTGCAGGTTGTGGGTTTGAGTCCAGCCTGGGGTTATGGTGCGTGTGCCCTTGGGCAAGGCACGTTGTCACTCATTGCTTCTCTCCACCCAGGAGTAAATTGGGCACCTGTGAGGGCAGAGATGGTTATTGCGGCTGATTTTAGCTGCTTTGTGCTGAAAAGGCAGCATCGGACTGTATACTCCCCAGGGAGTTGAGATTGTCTTTGGACTGTTTCATTGGCCCAATAATCGGGGGTAATAATAATGTAAAGCGCTTTGATCTTAGTTAAAAGTGTAGATATACGGTAAGTATCCATTATTATTATTATTACTGCAGAGGGCATACATTTAGCTATGCACAGAGGATATTGGGCATTGCAAGTCTGTGTAATTCATTGGCACTGGGCTTTAAACCTTCAATGTTTTGTAGTTATGCTGATACTAATGTCATCATCTTTTGCCTCCCAAGGCGTGGGTTGGAGGGCCAAGCTGACACCCATGGACCACCCCGTCTCGGAGTTTGAGTTTGACGTCATCATTGGTGCGGATGGGAAGAGGAACACATTACAAGGCAAGACAACGTTTTCATGTTGGCAATTCAGATTGGATCAGAGAGATTGCATAAACTTTACTCTGCTAACCACAGAATTTGGGCGATTCACAATTCAGTGCGCCACCTAGAGTTTGCCATGGAGAGTTCATTTTTCAAGTTAACGGTCTACAAAACACGGCGCATTTGAATGAGTGTCAGCTAGATATCTTGAGCTAATTTGTTATAGATTGGGGCATAGCGTTCTGCCGCCTTACAAAAAAAACCACCTTATTGATAAAAAGAAAAAAGGGCAAACAGATACTCGAATCATACGCTTACGAAACTACTGACCGGAAAAGCTAACAATTTCAAATTTCCCGCGCTGCGAATTTGTCGACCATCTCCCACAATGCACTGGGAAAAATAAACTCTCCATGGCAAACTCTTGGTGGCGCACTGCATTGTGAATCGCCCAAATTCCGCGCTTATGATCACCATTCTGCACTAACAGCTCTAGCAGAAAAATTCTGTGTTAACCCAATAAGCACAGAATCCTTAGTTATGGGATGTACATGTACGCATGGGCATAAGCCAAAATTCCTCGCTAACCCGTGAAATACGCTTACCGTAAGCGTGTATTTCTCTGCTACCGTAAGCAGGAATTTTTCGCTAACGTAAGGCAGAGCCATGAAATTGGGCTCTGGTAATTTATAAATCTAGGTTAATTCCAAGTGCCTGGGGTCATAGTTCCTAAAACTTGCCTTGTTCATCCTAACTCAAAATAAAACAGGCTTCAAGCGCAAGGAGTTCCGGGGCAAGCTAGCCATCGCCATCACGGCCAACTTCATCAACCGTCACACCACGGAAGAGGCCCGGGTGGAAGAGATCAGCGGCGTGGCCTTCATCTTCAATCAGAAGTTCTTCCAGGATCTGAAGGCCGAGACGCGAATCGACCTGGAGAACATCGTGTACTACAAGGACGACACCCATTACTTTGTCATGACGGCTAAGAAGAAGAGCCTAATAGAGAAGGGAGTCATTCTGGAGGTTAGTCCAAACACAGCCACAGCAGTGTTGAGCATAGTACTCGTACTTGAACTGATACTCAAGTAAATTGTTTTGGTACTCGTACTCACGAAAATGTACTCATACTTGTACTTTTACTCGCGAGAAAAAAATTACCCATATTTGTTCTCGTTCTCATGACAAAGTACTCGAACTCATACTAGTACTCCTGTAAATGTTCTCCTGCAAGAATTCAATTCTTTTTTGAGAGCTACATGCAGAAAAGAACCAACTTTCTACTGTTTGGTAGGCTTTTTCGTTTGTTTAATGCCTAGTTTAATAGGTAAAAGCCCTTGAGAACATGTGTACATTGGAACAGTACATGAAATGGCGCAAGGGTGGGATACCAATATTTGGCTGTCACTGCCCCACGGATCCTTAACTATAAGTGCCAACTCTTTTCACCCTGTAGGATCGCCCCGACACTGCCCGCCTGCTCGCCCGCGACAACTACAGCCACGAGAAGTTGCAGGAATACGCTCGGGAGGCAGCCAACTTCTCCACCGAACAGCTACTGCCCAGGCTGGACTACGCCTTGAACCACTACGGACAGCCCGACGTGGCCATGTTTGACTTCACCTCGATCTTTCAAGCGGAGCACGCGTCCCGCATCATGGAGCGCAACGGCCATCAGCTGCTCATGGCACTCGTTGGCGACAGTTTACTCGAGGTAGGAATTTTTCCCTACATTTCATTTCAGTTTTCAAATGAGAATGATAAATTTCTGTTGTATGAAAAAGAAAAAACAAATTTGGAGGATGCAGTCTAAGATGAGGTAAAAATTACTAGTCTGGGATATTGGAATGCAGAGATCACAGTAGTTGAACATGAGTTTGATTGATTAGACTCCCGTTCAGGCTGGCATCCCACAGGCACATCAAAAAGTAATAGAAACCAATCAAGTCTACCTCAGCAAACTTTGATTCCTGACATGACAGCATAATGATCAGGGCATTTTCACGAATTACCATGCGTTCAGTGCCGGGGTGGGGGGGGGGGGGAGCCCAGAATCTAGCCAACGCCTATTAAATAAAGCTGCGAAACACCTCAACTCACTGGTGCACAAGTCACATGTTTTCAGTCCCTGACATATTGTATGATGTGTGGTTAGGTCTGTACATCGGAACCATGTGCCCGAATACCCGACCGCTGATTTCAGGAGTCGGTTCCAGATTATGGAATCGAATACCTGTAACCAACTTTACATATTACTTCATAACTTCTTAGACAATGGAAAACAAAGAAAGATTCACGTTTATAAATGCAAAATACAGCTGACTGTATGTATTGAGCTCACTGTACACACTTGTATCTTGCTGTACTGACGCACTGATGTGGTAGTTTTATCGTGTGGACAGTCAGTACTACAACTTCCGAGTTTTAAACATTTTTTGTTTTTTTGCAGTTGGTACCCAATTCCGGTAGTTTGGTGTACCCAAATTTACACCCCATGCCAAGATCATGTTTTTCAAATTTTTAAAAATATTTTTGTATTATTTTTATAATATGCATGTATTCTAACTCTCCAGGTGGGGATGGGAGGGGGACATGACACCATGCTCCCTCGAAATATGCCATGGCATGTGTTTCCATCAATTTACATTGCTTTTGACATATGATGAACAATAGGAACAAGTCGAACACTAAGACAGTCAATCTTTTGAGATTTTGCATACATACTGGTAGTTTCTATATTGCAGACTTGTGCCTATTGTGGTCCCTGTGCCAGTAATGTCAACACTATGCAGTATTAATGTCAATACAAAAAAACCTTTATCTCCATGTTACAGGAGTGTACACAAATGTACCTAAGCATAAGTGCTTAGCCATAACATTGCTTAAGAGTGCCTCAGAGGGGAGTCAGGTTGGCGTAGCGGTACTTTCCTTGCCTTCCACCGCTGTGACCCAGGTTCGAATCCCGCCTGGGCCAATATGTGGATTGGGTTTTCAGTCCCTGCCTGATTCCGTGGGTTTTCCCCAGAATATTCTTCTGGGTTTTTCCTCCCACCCCTAAAACTGTAACTTCTTCTCATTGTCTTCTCTCCACAGGTTTCTTCAGGCTTGCGAGCTACAGTGCCTAGGGCGCTTTTGAGGAATCCTTGGTTTCATCACCAGAAATGATTAATAATAATAATAATAATAATAATGTTTGGCATTTTACCACTGAATGCAAAGTTCAGCCATCTAGTGTGCTCGATTATTATGGAAAATCCCTTTTTTGTTCTTGTGCACTATCCTGATGTCTAATATGCTGATGTTCCCATGCATCTCTGTCCAGCCCTTTTGGCCGACAGGTTCAGGTTGCGCTCGTGGTTTCCTTGGCGCCTTGGATGCCGCCTGGATGGTACGCAACTGGTCCTCCAACCAGTTGTCTCCTCCTGAGGTGATCGCCGAGCGGGAGAGCATCTATCGTCTTCTGCCCCAGACGACCCCGGAGAACCTGAGCAAGATCTTTGAGCAGTACACCCTTTCGCCCACCACGCGCTACCCGCACGTCAACCTCAAGGCCGCCGCGCCACACGAGGTGCTGCATCTGTACGACACTGACAACGAGGATCTCAAGAAGAAATGGGAGAAGATTGTCCAGACGGAGAAGCAAACTCTCAATCGATCAGGTAAGGTGCTTCATGCCTGTTTAATAGGTAGAACTGTAAAGACAGTTGACTGGAGACCATACTAAATGCGTCGGGACAGGGGCTATCCTTCGTACATCTGAAATTGTAAAGGTTCTGATCGTATGACATCAAAGTACCGCGTGATCATCTATTTTCCCTTGACCGGCCCTTATTGCAGTAGTGTTTGAAGAAGAGGAGCCTTTAGCAGGATTGAGGCTGAATGCATTTTGAGAGGCAGGGCTTTTGGAGGTGGTGATGATTGTCGCTCTGAAGATTTCATAAATGCTCCACTCTTCAGCCATGTCCACTTTTGCGTGGAATTGCGCCAGTGTCTTTTTGTGCCATTGTTTGTGTATTTGATGTACCTTGACCCCGCATCAGAGGTCATAACGAAAAGTATTCACTGGTCCTTCTCTAACCCTTAATGCTAATTGATGAGAGTAGTAAAAAGTAGTAAAGTCTGTCACGAGCCAATATCAGCCCATCAGGCCGGTATTTATCTCCGGTTTCCTTGGCATGAAACGACTGAGAATATTCTATTCCCCCTGGATGGGATGCCAGTCCATCGCAGGTTTAATACTCCCCAGCTAATGCCGGTACCCACTTATACTCCTGGGTGGAGAGAGGCAAGTGGGGGTAGAGTGCCTTGTCCGAGACACAATATACATATATGGCCATCAGGTGGATTCGAACCCTTCACCCCCCAATTGATGAGAGTGTTAACTATTTCTTGCTTGTTCATTGCTTGCTGTAGGGTCCATAGTGAGGGGTAGTAAGCTCTTGATGTGGTGCCAACGCGTGACCGACACCTACAAGAACGTACGCATAGAGAACATGACAACGTCGTGGCGTAACGGCTTGGCCCTGTGTGCAATCATCCACCGATACCGGCCACACCTCATGTAAGTTATCTGGTCATTGTTGATGTGAACAGCGCCCTCTGGTGAGAGGAATGGTTGATCTGGTAATGTGCAAACTGTGTTTAAAAATGATTTATTTGTTTACCGTGCCACAAATTGAGGTATTTGCCACATCGAGAAATGATGTCTTACAGGGATGAAACTTTTCAGATTTTAATCGGAAATCCGACTTTTTGAATTTTCCAACGAAATGTCCGATTTTTTTACAGTGTGTCCAAAGATTTTTCTCACATAATGTCATTTTATTTCAATCATAATTTCGAAGAAAAGTCGATGAAAAGTCGATGGAAATGGCACGTTAAAATCATCGCGAACGTAGTTTTAATCTCTTTCACCAGTCGTTATTGGAGTGTTTCAACGATAGAAACACAGGGCATAACACTGATCGGAACCTTCTCCGGCTGGACAAAAGGTTAAACATTGACAGGTGACATGGAAAAATCACTGTGTCGCACGTGCGTGCGAATATGCAATGGGGTAGCGTACGTACCGCATTGTACCGTCCGCGCCGCTAGCACATGGCCGGTCGGGAACGGGTAGCCTTGTGAACATTCCAGTGGATAAAATCATTATGTTGTGCGATTTTCGGAGGTTTCAGATTTAGTTGTACAACATGCAATGCTTTAAAAATCGTGATGATTATCTCGAGGATAGCGAAGAGAGCATTAGCGAAACATTTCACTGGCATTTGTTGGAAGAGAGACGATAATGCCTGATTTTTCCCCACGTACGAATGCAAGTGGAGTAGTGGAGTTGTGGTTGAATCATGGACATGATTAAGCACCATATGTGCCCTTGTCTTTCGGACTTTTCCCTCAACTTTATCAAGTAAGAAGTGAACTTCTTTATTGATGACTCCATTACTCCAACCATAATTCAGGTGTTTTATGCAATGAAAACACTGACCATTTTCTTTTCATCGTAAAATTTTGTTTGAATCGAAAATAAAGCAGGAGTAGATGTCCGGAAATTGGGCATGAAGTGTATTGTACATGTACATGCATGTACATGTGTGTAACTGCAGCGCGGCCCAAATTTCGGACACGTATTTTTCTTCGGCCTATTTTCCGATTTTTTGGCCATATGCCAGTTTCATCTCTGTGTCTAGTGGGTATAAAGCATGTGCATGATTTGTTATGAGATGTAACAAAACTGTCACTTTACAATGTACAGTATGTATTTGATCAATAACTTAGTGATGTGGATTTGGAGAGTATTTGCTTGTTCCGCAAAACGCTTTCAAGGGCTGATTTTACAGAGACCCTGCTGTCTGAAATGCTACCAAAACAAATTATAAGTTGAAAAATTAAAAAATGTTGCTAATTAAAAAAATCACTTGTTTCAAATCCTACCTCCAGATAATCCTGGTAAAAGGTTTCTTTTTATGAACTGACTTTTGGCAAAACTAATTCCTTTTGAAATTCATTTACAAATTTTCTCATTTGCCTTTGACTCCACTCATAGATCTTCATTCCCTTTCTGAGGAAGACTAAACTGTTACCTAAAAATGCACTTGTTTCGCATCCTACCTTCAGAAAATTATCAGAATTTTGACTCTTGTCATAAAGATAAAATGGTTACTGACTTTGGGTAAGCTAATTTCCATTCGAAATTCATTTACAAATGTTCTCATTTGCTTGATACCTTTGACTCCACACAGAGATTTCCATTCCCTTCGTGAGGAAGACGTGGTGCAGAACAACCAGCTGGCCTTCGATTTGTCCGAGCGAGAGTTTGGAATCAGTCCCACGATGACCGGCAAGGAGATTGCGGCGATGGATGCCCCGGACAAGCTGACCATGGTGGCCTACATCTCCCGATTCTACGACCTCTTCAGGGACGAACTACCTCCTCCTTTGAAACGTAAGAAGGGAGACTTTGGTAAAGCCAGTTTGTAGTGATACGGACCACTGATCTCTATATACTGACTGGATAAGTGCCGAACCGCAGAAAGAACTTATTTTGAAGCCATATTGGGGAGACACGCCAGTGTTCTAAAAAGGAACAACTTGCCGTCTTAGATCTGTTCTCAAACACTGTTTTTTGCTTTAGTAACATCGTGGCTCACCTTTTGTTCGCTACAGTTCACAGTGTTTTAAACGTCGTGGTTTGCATTTTTTAGCGTCGCAGGTCACTTTTTTGTGAGGTTTGGGAATATAATCACAGCAGAGACTTGTTGCAAAGCTGAGATCTGATGGGGTCAAAATATGCCCCTTAGCTATGAGAAGATAGGAATTCCCCCTTTCATTTCTTTGGTTGCTGATTTGCTTGTCTGCCCGCAGCCAGCCTGGCCAAAATTGAGGAGGTGCCCACCCACGCCAAGTCGCCGGTCGCCAAGTCCTCGTTTCTCTCCAGAATCTCAAACAAGCTCCGGCACAAGAAGTCTCACCATGGCAACAAGGAGAACGAGGAAGGGCTGAGCCCTGTCAACGCCAAGAGACCCAAGATCAAAGAAACACCGGTAAAATAAGACTAGTGAATATGACACAATAAAAGCAGCTTTTTCCGAGCCGAGGGGAGTGTGGCCTAGTGGTTAGGGTTCGTGACTCATGATCAGAGGGTCAGGGGTTTGAATCTAGCTGCTGGTCATATTTTGTGTCCTTTGGCAAGCCACTTCACCCCCACTTGCCTCTCTCCACCCAGGAGTAAAAAGGGGTAACAGCATCAGCTGGGAAGTAACCTGCGATGGACTGGCATCCCATCCCGGGGAAGTAGAAATATTCTCAGTCATTTTATGCTACTGAAATCGGAGATAAACACCGGCCTGATGGGCCACATTGGCTCGTGACAGACTTTACTTACTACTTACTTTTTCCGAGCCATATACATATCCCGTATGCGTACCCTTTCTAATGGTCCCTAATGACTTGCTTGTCTCGCAGGAGGAGGCTTTACAGAAAATCCGCGCCGCAAACGTGGAGGCCCGCATGAAGGAGCGAATCCTTGAACAGACCAACGCCAGGCAGGCAAGCAAGGCCATTGACGCGTCGGAGTTCCCCGCGGGAACCAACCGCGTCAGTGGATTGGCTGAGCAACTCACGGCCCAGTTCCGCACGCTCGCCGGTCTGACCGTGACTGATGACAACAGGCCCATCAACAGACCTGTAAGTCTTGATTTGCAGAAAAATTTCTAACAGTAAGCTTAAAGACGTATAGGATGATTTGCATTTATCCCAAAAAAATAATCAAAATATTATTCAAAAACTTACTCAGATTAAAGATCGTACTGGTACTGAACACCTCGTGAAATAATTCTATCACGTTTGCTGTCATTTAGGAGAAATCCAGGAATGTAGGTGATTTCCGACGATCTGTCAATGGACTGATTTTTGGAAATATTTAAAAGCAGTCCTGATGATTTGAGGCATGCGATCACACCCCCACACCATCGCACACCTAAAAGCTTCCCGAGAAGTGTGAATAATTGCACGCCTGAATTTCCCAGGACCACAGATCACACACCTAGAAAACCACACACCTAGAAAAAACACACACCTAGAAAAATCCAGGTGTGCCTTTTTCCACACGCCTGTGATTTTCAAATCAGAAGGACTGTAAAAGTGCTATTGACGAAATCTCGTATCGTGATCAAAAGGTTGTGCATGGTCTTTCACTGTTTTCTCAAAACGTGTAATATCCGCTGAGCTGAAACCAAAGCATTGGAAAACAGTTGGTACAAATTACAGAAAAGTCGGGGAAAATAGACCTGGTAGTTATGGAGGAGTTAGAGGATGTGAAAAAATTCCCACATAGTGGCATGATAGTACAGTTGCCTGAGAACATTTGAGACATATTTAAATAGTTTTTTGAGAGATCCCAGAAATTGGGGGATCCAAGTTTGATTAGTAAGAACCTGCATACCAGAGACTTGATTTTCACACATGATAATCCGAGTTGGCTGCCAGCACTGTATACAGTTCAAGAGCAGAGCCTGTCACAGAGCCTATCTGAAGGTCAAAGGCGGCTGTATCTTGATTCTCAATATCTTACATTGCATTTAGGTCATTCTTTAAATTTGGAGTCCACTTTAACATTTCTCATCAGAAATTAAAACCCTTTGAGCCAAGCAAGACTGGGAACAGCGATGTATGCTTCTTCTGTGACAAGCGTGTGTACGTCATGGAGAGATTGAGTGCAGAGGGCCTGTTCTTCCACCGAGACTGTTTCCGCTGTCAGCACTGCGAGACGACGCTCCACGTTGGCAACTACGTGTTCTCAAGAGAAACGGACGGCAAATCCAAGGGTGGGTGTTAAGCCTTTTCTGACCCGGCCCACTTCATGTCGGACTGCAAAGAAGGAAACAAATAAAGCATTTTTAGCAAATATAAATTAAGCAGTACTAGTGGTTAGGGATTGTGCCTCATGATCAGAGGGTCAGGGTTCGAATCCAGCTGCTGGTCATATACATGTATGTTGTGTCTAGGGCAAACTACTTCACCTCAACTTGCCACTCTCCACCCAGTGGTATAAAGGGGGTACCGGCATTAGCTGGGGAGTAATCTGCGATGGACTAGTATCCCATCCAGGGGGAATAGAAATATTTTCGGTCTTTTCGTGCTGAGGAAACTTCAGATGAACGACGGCCTGATGGGCCAGATTGGCTCATGACAGACTGTAAAAAGTCTGAAGAACACCAGTTAGTATCTGTGCACATACTATGGCATTTGTTGGTTGGTGACGTGTTCTTGCCAAGGTTCCAACAGCAGACAAGACCTGCTGAATCTCAATGAGATAGGCAATATCGTTTATTGCATTTGTTTGATTCAATTTTAAACTTTACTGTGGGATTCTGTTCACTCAGTAGCGATCTTAGTGGCCGTCATTTTGTTCCAAATTAGGGATGCCACTGAAACTGTATGCTGTCTATAGTTATTTTGATAAGTGCATACATATTTCAACAACCTTGTACATGTACATGTGTACCCCATTCTTGTCAGGTCAATCAGTGATTATTACATAATGCTTTGGTTTCTCTCAACAGGCAAGTTCTTCTGCCGAATCCATTACCTTGCCACTCTCGGCAAGGAAGTACCCAGGGGAAACAGAAAACGACCACTGGATGAGGTGGATCATGTAGGTTTTATTCATATATTTCAGTTTATTTAAATTCTACTTTGGGGGGGGGGGGGTATATGAAAGTGAAATGTGGGTTAGCACATCCGTATGCACTCTGTATCAGGGATATAATCGAGAGTTCATCACCAGTCCATCACAAATAAATCACAAGTCCGGTCACGAGTAACAGTGGATGAACAATAACAAAGGAATGCCTTTGTCAAAGATCATGTGAATAGCTTGCGAATTGAATTGGGACTGGAGGACTTGCGATGGACTGGCAGGGATTTGTCATGTACTAACTATATCGCCGCTCTGTGTAGGGATGAAAGATTAGCTGATGTTCGAAATAATCTGTCAATAATTATCGCAAAAAGATTGTTCAGACCAGCAACGATTGTTCGTCTAAAAAATACGTCCCAAACCTTGGATACACCTAACAAAAAATCCAATCCCAAAATAAATTGTCCAGTGATTTGTAATCGCCCTTCGGTATTTGATCAATTTTCTTATCCATGTTCCAGCCTTCGTTACCCAAGTCACCTGTTATCACAACCATTCCTGAGGACAGTGAGATTCCAGCCAGCGTTCCTACCCCCAAAGACGTCAACCTGCTCTCGGAGCCAAGCCTGAAGCGATACCGCGCCACCCCGGAGCGCATAGGTGAGATGTCCTCTCTCTAAAGGCATATAGGATCTTTTTCTTTTTCATGCATTGTGTCCGTTTCCAATAATAGCATTGCTCAAAATCCAAATAAGAATGTTCTAAAGTTTTAGCTCGGTAGATATTACACATGTTGTGAAACCTGAAAAACCGTGCAAAACCTTTTAATCACAAAATATGGTTTTGTATATAGCACTCTTTATTAAAAAAAACAAATCAGTCAATTGACTACTCTTTGGAATCGCCTGTGTTTCTTGATTTCTTCGAAATGACAGTAGGGCTGTCGATTTACGAATAGTTTAGTATCAGTTATTCGAAACTGCATTAGACCAAATATTAGAAACTCACCGATCAAGTTTTACCCGCGCCAGCTGCAACTGTGTGCCATGCCGGTCAAAACTTGCATACAAAGCGCGTCCGTTAAAATTTGCGTGTGGCCGTCGATGTTATGGGCAGCTGATCAACATTTGTGCATGCCTGTCGTAGTATCAAGATTATCATGTGTACATTGTACATATTTTAAAAGTAATTGACTTGATGGTGTATTAAAAAAACGTGAAATCTGACAATAAAGCGATGCAACTTTACGATATATTAAAATAACATCACAGTTGTGTGATCTTTGAATATTCAAACCGGCAAAAAGCTATTTGAATATTTGGTTGATGACAGCAAACCAGACGGAATAATTCACAGGGTGTTTTGTTCATGTACTAGTACAATTTTTATTCCAAGTAAGCTTTTTGATAGTGATGGTAGTTTACTTTTGGGATAAATGCAAATTATCCTTTATAATACCCCATGAAAATCAAAGTGTGAAGGATGTTCCATCAGTCTCCTGCGCAGTGGTACCTAATCTAAACTGACGCCATCCAATTTATTTCAGCCTATCAATTTTTTCCTGTCCCAATTTTTCTATCAGAGCTTGAAAACATGAGGGCGTGTATAGCGGCCGGTGATGTCGAAGTCACGGAAGAAGAAATAGCCAAGTACAACCTGGGTACCTCATTGGTAACCTCTGGAGAGGAGGATGAGTAAGTACTTCCTGGCATTTTTTTTTAGACTGATTGGCTGGTATTTTGGACATATTTGGTGAAAGTTTCATGTATATATATCCATTGTACCTTTTTGAAGAAAAGCACTAGCAAAGAACACACGCTAAAAAAAGACTCTGACCACTGTTCCGTGGTTCAACAAATTGATTGAAATTGTGCAATGATGCGAAGCAGTGTAATATCAAGTAAAAACCTAGTCATGGTGACTGACTCACTTGAAGTTATTGACACATTAAAAAAAAAGAAGAAGGCAGAACCAATTCCGTGTGCAGACTGGAAAATGAGCCACTTCAATGAAAATGGCATAACTCCTCACCACAGCCACTAATTTGAAAAATTCAAAATTCCTGCGGAAGACAAGGTAATAACCATTCATATGAAACACTCAGTTTTTTTTTTAATATAATCTATTTGCCACAAAACAAATGGTGAACTTGGGTCCAGATCATTCTGACTCACCCTGTAAAGCCTGGCACCACCTAAATTTTTACCAGATAAGGGGCTGTTCATTTGTGGTACTCATACATGCTTGAACATAACTTTTACATTGCATTTACATGTACATGTAGTATCGTCATCGGCACCACGAACTGACACTCAGTTGGGCGTTAGTCCGCTGCACGCGCGTATTTTAATACAGAACCGGGTTATTTTGGGTTTCACGAACTGACATCCTCCACATGCGGCTCTTTTAGAGTGCACCTCGTACATTTTCGGTTTCACGAACTGACACTGACCTTAGTTTCACCAATTAAAATGATTTTAAATTAATTTTTTCTGTAAATACACAAGTATACGGATAAATTAAATTCGTGTAAAATCTTTCAAACCGTTTCTCTCCATTCTATATTGCTGCATCATGCTTGGGTGTCATTTCGTGAAAACGAAAAGCTTGCTATATTGTGTCAGTGTCGATGGGTGTCAGTTCGTGAAATTGACATCGTGGATTACATGGTTTTCACGAACTGACACCCCACTTGGGTGTGAGTGTCAGTTCGTGGTGCCGATGACGGTAGAATTATGTTGTAACTTCTTGTGCTTTTTTGTATGTGGCATATGTGCCTTTTCTGTTTTCTTATTTGCAGGTCCTCAGAGAGTGATTCAGAACTGCGCGAGGAGAGGTCTGGCTCTATCAAGACCTTGGAAGGAGAAGATGATGATACTGATGATGACGAAGACGATGATGATGATGATGATGATACTGATACTGATGAGTATAGTAAGAAAGAATTATTTAAAATGTTCTGATGACCAACCTTGTAATCACAGGAGTGACAGTCAGAATTATTAAACCTCTTTGTATACACTGTTGTGTAATGTTTTCCTGTTATTTTTTTCTTGAATATTCAGGCTCGGATTTTGATTCCTATGATGAGGAGGATGATAGTGATGAGGAAAGTGACGAATGCAGCGACGAAGATGATGATGACGATGAAGATGAGAGTGAACAGAACGTCGCTCAGAAGGAGGAGCCGCGCTACAACCACGTCTCAACTGTGGTCAGTCTCAAACAGAAGTGGTTGGACGACATGAAGGCCCCGGCCATGAAACCCTGGCGTCCGCCGGAGGAGATCCTGGCCGAGCAACAGCGGGAAGAAGAAGAGCGGCGGAAGGCTGAGGAAGCCAGGCTAGCTGAGGAGGAGAGGATGAGGGAAGAAGAGAGGCAGAGGCAGGAGGAGGAAGAAAGACGAGCCAAGGATGAGGAGGAAGCCAGGAGGTTGCAGGAGGAACAGGATCCAGTGGCAAAGACACCGGAAGCGCCAAGGCCCCCCATGCTGCAGAAGAGCGCCAGCAAGCTCAAGATGAACCTGGATGCCTTGTCGCAGCAGTATGCGGATTATGAGGAGGAGTCCAACACACCAGCTGTTGTAAAAACCAACCCCGAGGGACTTGTAGGGCTGACGGACGATGAGAAGGCAGCATCGATGCAAGGAACAGAGATGGGTTGGGACGAAGGAACTGAAATGAAAGGCGATTGGTTGCTAAGTGGCGAGGAGGAGGATGAAGTTAGTTCGGAAGTATCTGATGATGAGGACTTGTCGTCGGATGAAGTCTTCGAGATGGGAATTGATCAGCCATCTCAGAATACATCAAAGGAAACTAACAAAGCAACTTTTGACGAAGATGGTGAAATCATCAAGAGTCCGTTGTTTCAGAGTGAAACACCAAGCACCTTGCCAGACAGGACTTATGGAAATGCACATAAATATAGAAATACTGACAAGCAAAGTGACCCATTTGCCGAGGAAGACACGCGGCCACGGACAGCTTCTGGATTTTCTGACTCTAGTTTTACAATTTCCACTCCCAGTGGTTCCTTCTCGTCAATCTCTATCATAAGTATGGATAGTTTACGTCAGGCGGATTCTAACCCTGTAGACTTTGTGGATTCTCCTGGACCGGATGCAAAGGAGGAGACCATGGAGCTCGATTTGACTGTGCAGGCGGCAGAGGTCTGCACACCCAAGGCTTCAGTGGCTGATGGCAACGGCCTGGATCTTACTGCGGAGTCCGCTGAGGTCTTCCATGATGCTGTGAGTGCAGACATGGAGGATATTGAGCTAGATATGACAGTGGAATCGGGAGAAGTAAACTCTCAAAAGACGGAAGTGTCTGTGGATGAAGTTGATTTAGATCTTTCAGTCATGTCTGGTTACCAGCAAAATGAAGCTGTGCCTCAGCTGTCTCCAGCGAAGGAACTTGAGATCTCCGATATTGGAGTCGACATGGATCTAGTGGCTGAGGCTGAGGCTGAGGCTTCCATTAAGAATGGGAAGATTGAGTCGGAAACTGTGCCTCCAGTGCAAATGGAGGAAGCATTGAAACCCACCCTGACGTCTACTCCAGACGTCGTGCCGTCCACCAAGATACGGGAAAACGGAACTGCTGCCAGTAGTGCACAACCTGCTTCAAAGGAAAAGCCAAAGTACCGTCCCATGTATAACAAGAGGGATAGTGGACCTAGACTGGTCATGTCCAGGTCATTTTCAGACTCTTTCAAAGAGATACCAGCACTGGATGTCATTAGAAATGTTTCCAAGGTGGAGGAAAAGGAAGCGCTCTCACCAGACCAGAATGCAAATACCAGTAATGGTGTAGTCTACCGTAACAAAAAGAAGCTCTTACCAGACCGGCCTGATTCCCCAACAGACTATGTTGTCCCTGAAGCCGCGATACGACCAACGTCAATAAAAATGGACACACTTTCCGAGAAACGGGAAAGAACTTACTCGGGCAGCACAGCCCGCGACAAGGTGGTTAGGAAGAAGGGAGGGGGCTCTCCACAGAAATTGTCCAAACGGCAGCTACCTAAAGTGCCGTCCCAAGATAATGGTCAAACAGGTGGGATCACCCCGGAGGATAGAGAGGCTGCAAAGAACATGCTCCGCGACAAGGCAAAGAAGAACCGGGGTTGGTCTAGTTCGGGATCTAGCACCCCCGACGTCATCAGTCCCGTAGCTGTTGCTGTGCAGCCAGCCTGGGAAGCAAATGGATACCCTACAGTTCAGATTCCTCAGGTCAGCAAGACAAGCAGCAGCAGCGACCAGTTCTTCACTCCGGAGACGGAAAACCCGCCCACCTCGGAATACCTCACTGTCTCGCCAGGTGAGATGTCGCCGCTCAGCGACCACTCACCGTCGCAGTTCACCGACGGCATCCCGCAGTCGGAGTCCAAATCTGAGGAGCGGAAGTCGCGTCTAAGCAGGCTGCGAGGGGACATGCGCAGACGGGATGCCTTGCGCAAATCTCATTCGCCAAAAGCAGAGCGCCGGTCTACGGGGAAGAAGAAAAGTAAAGGGAAGAGCAAAAAGAAGAAGTCCAACAAATCCAAGTCAATGTCTTCCCTCAGTGAACTGGAGGATCGCTCTGCAGCTTATCGAGTCGTTGACTCGACGGAGGCATCGGTAGCCTCGCGAGATGAGTTATCAGCCGAGGGTGAATTGGATATTCTGGGAGCAACGGCTGCACCAGCATCAGGTCTACTGGAAGACCTTTCCAAGATCAAATCAACCACAACTCAGCTTCCTAGATTAAGTAAGATTCGTAAACTTATATTTTCAAACCTATGCCATCAATTCAAACTGTGTTTTTCTTAAAGAGTGGATTGTTTGTGTTGCAAATTTAAGAAGAAACCTAGAGAAAGTATACTGATTAATAGAGGTGGGAGGGAACCATATTACCCACAGAATCAGACAAGGAACTAAAGAAAACAGATTCAACATTTCAGCCTAGGTGGGAATAATAGAACCGGGGTAACACAGATTGAAAGGCAAAAGAGAAGAACCACTGTTCAAACATGATTAAATGAATTCTGACACCGTTAAAAAGTCTGTAAGTTGACCGTGGAGCCGGCCCTGACGGATTCAAACTTTGTTTTTCTTAAAGAATGGAATAGCTTGATTTTTGCAAAATTTAGAAGACACCTTGAGTAAGTATGCTCCTTTTTAGAGATGGGAGGGAAACCCTAATGTAGACCCACAGAATGAGACAAGGAACTAAAAAACAAAAGCAACATTTAAGCCTGGGTATGAATCGAACCCGGGTCGGACAAAGAAAAAGTATCTCTACACCAACTTGACGACATGAATTCTTACCCTTACGAAACAGTCCGTAAGCTGACCGTGGATCCGGCCCTGACGGCATCTTTAGACCTGGACGATCTCAGCTCCTCCAGCGAGACGGAAGAAGCCCCCAAAGATGAGGAGGCGATGCAAGAGGACGGCATCAGCCCCGAGACCAAGGGCAAAGGCAAGGCAAAGTCGCCCAAACGGATGTGGGGCAAGCGATTCAAGGTACGTGTTCGATCGTGGTGGAGGGGCCACTTTGGACCTAGAGGTGAAATTTCTTAGACAGAAAACGAAAATTCAAGATGTGATTTTTACATTTTTGTTCTGTCCTTTCATTCTTCATCCACTCTGTCATTCAAAATTTCTTGTTGGCTAGTGGGTTGTAAACATTCAGGGTTATTGTTTTCCGGCATTTAAAAATTGTTTTTTTTGTGCCAATTTCATTTTTTTAATGGCCTATTTGGTATAGGCCTGGAGAACAGGCTTGAAAAATCGAACAAAATTCCACAACTTTTGTAGAAGTGAATGTGTGTGGTTGAAAACATTCAGGGTTATTTTTCACTTAAAAAAAATAATAAAAACCTGGGCCTACTTTACCTTGGTAAAGTCCTGGAGATTAGGCTTGAAAAATTGCAGAAATTTCTGGAATTTTTTTGTGGGAGTGATTGGGTGTGATTCTTTGGTTCTGCCTTCTCATCCAGTATGCATATTTTAAGACGGGCATTGAAAAGTTACATCTTGGAATTCTGTGCACGCTTACTGCACTAGTTGGTGTATGTATGTTTCTCCTGCCATGCTGTAGCTGGTGTATGTTCATATTAACTATGCTTGCTTTTGCTGTAACGAAGGGTTTCCTTATTTTCATACAGTACTCGTTCATTACCGAATATCTCACAAGTGTATTTATTAGCACCTGCTGAAACTGTAGATCACTACGAATGCAGTATTAAGCAGAAATTGGGAAGACATGAAAAAGTGTCCCTTAAAATTCTACGATTCATAGAACAGATGAATTGCAATTTGTTGGAATGCAGAAAAGTTTCCCATTGTGCATGCACGGAAGTTATTCTATTCTGGTGTTTTGTGTGGTCATCTTGTTTTGCACAGCATTGGTATTAGTGAAACTTGAAAACAATCTAAAGCTGTTTTTTATGCAATGCAATTTTTTGTACAAATTATCACTGTCCAATAAAAATCAAAGATAGAGAATATATCTATATTTTTATAGCTTGTATATTTATAAAATAGCATCAAGTGTGTGAATGTATTTATAACTATCAAGTTCATACCTCGTTTTCTAATCACATCACCATATGTCTTGCCATGTGTTTGTTACTATTGCCATGACGGTTGCCTTTCTTAACTGTTTCTTTGTTTTTTACAATTGCTTTTTCCAGAGGTTGAGACAGGTAAAATGCTCAGGGTTTATGATGTCATTTCTCTCTTATTTACCTCATTTTTTTCCCCTTCAAATTCATGGCCTGCTGCGGAAAAACAAACAAGCCTTGAAATTCTTTATTTTATATTATTACTCCTACCGGTAACTGTAACGACATGTCATTTCTGTCTTGACTTCAACATCATCAAAGAAATTCTTTGAACTGTTCTGAAAAATGTCAGAATTTGATTTTCAAAAGAGTCCAATATGTATTTGTTGGCATATTTTGGTGAGTTTAAACGGACGGTACATATTCTTCAGGGAAATATCAGGGAAAATTCAGGGAATTTTGTTTTCGTAAAGGGCAGGGAACCCTGTTCTAATATACGACTAGCTTGTAATAGAGAAAGCTCACTGGAAGAATTTGGCTTGTTTTTTTTTAAGCAGCGGCCTTGCAGATTGGAGTGGAGTTGTAATTGAGTCTTAACAAGTCAACCACAAGTCGTTACGAGGCGGTCAAAATTCAAGACTTGACCAGTCGTATTTCTGTAGACAAAATGTCCAAATAATAATAATAATAATAATGTTGTGCTTACACAGCACTTCACATAATTGAAAGTCCCAAAGTGCTTCGTCTTTCTTCATCATGCCTTTTGACCAGTTTTCTGCAGCAGCTCGAGATCAGCGGAACATGGTCTCTACCTTCACAGGTACCCATTTATACTCCTGGGTGGAGAGAGGCAATTGTAGTTAAGTGTCTTGCCCGAGAACACAAGCGCCATGTTACCCGTCAGGGTTTGAACCCACTTGCCAAGGCACATGAGTCGAACACCATAGCCATTGGACCACAGTGCTCCACAAATACTCTTCTAAAAGGACATTCCTTTGTGATTGTTGCAACTGCAAACTTGTTCTTATTGCTTTAATACTTCCATCATGCAAACTTTCAAATCTTATTTCTCATCATTCATGCCCTGTAATCTGGGACCCGACTGATGTGACTTTTGATGACTACTGATCACTTGTGATTGACTCGGTTACAACTCTGGATTTTGTTGTTGTTGTGTGTGCTGGTCATGAACCTTTGAAAATGCATGAATGCCGTTTTTTTTTAGGTAAACAGTCAACGGCCAATTGGTATGTTTTGACAGAAAACCAATCTCACACAGAACATTTATAAAAAAATGAATTTGTATCTATTTGTTGTATGTTTTAACACTTGTGCTGTCGGATAACATATTTGAGTGAACACGCTTTGATTGAGTTGAATTATAAGATATTTTCTAGGTTCATTTTTGCACCCTATGTTCTAAGGAAGCACTTAGTTGGGCCATAGCACTGAAACATTTTATATTTAATAAAACATTTTTTGTATGTATATTTGTTTTTGGATGGGACATTGCCAGATATATTTTTGGTTCATTTTTATATACAACGTATGTGATCTTTAAAAAAAAAAGTTTATATTTTTATGAATTTGATATATAGTCTCAAAATCTATATTTTTGTATAATTTGATAAATATTAAGTAGTCTGTGCATTGTCAGTTTTTTTAAACAAACAACCTTTTCATAATCTACGTGCCAGTGCAGTTTACAGGCATGCAACTTTTTTTCGGATCCGCTGATTTCCTCGTTTTTTACGTCTCAAGAATGCCATTACAAATTGAAAAACACTGTACAAAGTCTTGTGTCTAAATTCCCAGTTGCATGCCTGAGTTTTAGGTTAAGTGCATTTCAAAAACTAATGATGATTTCATTCAACATCAGTTTGTTTTTATTTAACCCTTGTTGCTGTGCAAACATTTTTGGAACCCCTGTGTGTTGTCTGCAGTTTAAGGTACGTGCATGTGCATGAAAGCAGCAAAGTCAAAGTATTTTGCTTCCTAAAATTTTAATTTCTACCAAAAAAATTCCCTTCAAAACCACGATGGCCATTCGAGTTACATGCTATTTCAGTGAAGAGGATGTACGAGGGACTTAAGAAGATTTGCTTAACCAGTTCGCGCCGGGATTATTTTGACAAGAACGGAACGATTTCCGGGATTACTTTCACTAGACCTCATGCTAGGCGGGTTGAAGCCATCACCCTCGGGCAGCACACTCATATTTCCAGCCTCGCTTGTTGCGAGCGATTTCCGGGATTACTTTCACTAGACCCCATGCCAGGCGGGTTGAAGCCATCACCCTCGGGCAGCACACTCATATTTCCAGCCTTGCTCGTTGCGAGCGGGTTGCTGACAGATATTTCTGGCCTTGCTTCATGCGTGTTTATCCGTCATCCGTTCCGAATACCGCCAAACCTTTGCGGGCATACATGGCCGCTCCAGCGTGAACTGGTTAACAATGAAAATACATGAAGACTTCCAGGCACAGCCATGTTGGTCTTGCACCCTGACTTTGTACAAGATTGCGAGAAAGAATGGCCATTCACGGAAGCCATTCCCTTGGAAGGCACAGGCTTTTAAAGATATACATGTAGGCATGAAAATTGTGGCTTCTAAAACCCCTTACAGTACTGTTTATGAAACATTCTTTTTGAAACAGGGTTTTGGTTTTGCTTTGTGCTTTTCTTTCCTAACCTTTTGCTTCTAGGTATTTTTTTCTGGAAGAATTGCTGAATTTATGCTTTTCTTGGGTTTCAACTGATGTTTGATTAACACAAGTATTTTCCTTTGCAGTTTGGTTGCTATTGAATATACCCGGTAATAGGTTGCTTTGTATGAGATGAAACCAATGGGAACCAACCATAACTCTTTTTTCTCTTAAATTTCTTTTTGAAAAATACAAAGTTTGCTTGTTTTTGTGAATATATACAAAACAAGGCTTTGCCTTGCACGCTGCACAGGAGAGGCGGCGTTGCCGTCTGTGCCCTGAAAGGGGGAGGGGGGGGGGTTAATTTATTTGAAATTGAGCCGAACCCCCCCCCCCCCAAGAAAAAAACAACAAACAAACATCCCTAACAAACACACAAAAATCAAGAAGAGGATGGTGAACAGATCCTGTTGGTATCATCTCACTTTTTGGGTTGCCCTGGAAATGGCAGTTCATCTGATGCCGCTTATTGCAAATAATCAACATCATCTATCCTCCTTCCTTTCAGGTACTTTCAAAGAAGCCCCCTAAAGTACATGTAGAGCAGGTATATTCGTCATATGCCTCCACTGTTTGCCCCCTCCCCCTAAAAAAAAAAGCTACCCAGTGTAACTGTAACAACGGCTGACTAATTTGCATATGCGCTGACGCCTTAACGCTTGTTTTATCCATACCCCCTCCCCTTGTTTGCAGGTTGTAACAAAGAAGTCCCCAAAAGTGGACGAGGTATAATTTGTTTTTGTTTGTGGTTGTAGTGTGCGTGTGTGTGTGTACTAGCCTAATCATGGTAGTGTGTACAACCAGGCTCGAAATTAACCCAGTAACCGTTCATCTACTTCTTAGAAAAGCTGACAGATTATCAATTTCAGCAGAAGTACAGGGTGATTCAAAAAAACCAAAACCCAAATGTCGGGACCACTGTTTTAGTGAAGTTCTGCATGTAGCACTTTCACAATCTAGGATATGTAAAGCCCAATTCATAAGCTTTCTTTTAGTACAAGAATCATTCAAATCACTCCTGCACTTTTCAAGTTACGGAGTTTTAAACACAACCGCTGTTTTTAAGGTTCTGTCCACGGATCACAAAAAAGTTCAGTGTTCTTTCAGCAAAACGGAAACAAATCACATAAGGATGTGAGTGAATTGTTTTCGTTTTGCTGAAAGGACACTTAACTTTTTTGTGATCCGTGGACAGAACCTTAAAATGGTGGTTGTGTTTAAAATTCCGTAATTTGAAAAGTACATGAGTGATTTGAATGATTCTTGTACTAAAAGAAAGCTTATGAATTGGGCTTTCATATCCTAGATTTTCAAAGTGCTACATGAAGAACTTCACTAAAACAATAGTCCTGACATTTGGGTTTCGTTTTTTTTTTACTCACCCTGTAGATGTAGTCTGTAGAATCTGTGTACTATAAAATTGCCTGCTTTAAATAGTCTTCATTTATATTATCCCTCTGCTGTCTGAACAGTCACAGACAGTAAAAAAAAAATCAATCCTCTTCCCCTGCCATGCCTTTAACATAGGCTAGTCACCAACAGACTCATATTTCTAGCAAAGCACTGTGATTAGTCAAATGCAGTCAACAGACAAAAGCAGACAAGTGGTAGGCACAGCTGGCTTATCAATCACCTACAGTCAGAGCATAGCTGTATCAAGTTAAATAAACAGTCACAGCCAGTCAATCCTGCTTTATGTAGGCTTGGAGCTCTTAAATGTTGAAACAGTCACTTGATTGATTTTGGCTGAAAGGACAATTTTGCACAGAATGTATGTTTGCATAGGAGGGTTAATGGATAACTCGACACTAACATTTTTGTCCAGAGAAAGTCGTAGTGAATTATAACCAAGTTAACTCATTTGTTCAACTGCTTTCTGTAATAGTCATTAATTTCCATTAATAACCTTGTCTTGATAAATCCAAGCCAAAGAAAGTGAAAACTGAGTCGGGAATTATAGATTAACCCCGGTTGGCAGAAAAAATGAAACCAAACGGTAACCATAAACTCAGCCTTCATATTACCCTCGTGCTCACCATTGAGTGGAAAAAAATGCACATTCCTGTTTTTCTTACGGACCTGAATTTGCTTTTTGCATTGTTTCAGAATACATTTTGTAGAAGAATGTAGTTTTAAAATATATAACTAGATTCAAATTTAAGCGTTTGAAAAAAATTGCCTTTGAAAAGACACCACATATGCCTGCAAAATGCATACTGAAAATTCCTATATGCATGCACATGTAGAGTTTTGTAGGTTTTATCCATCATCGAGTTTCCTAGGTTGTGAAATTGTACCAAATATTGTACAGGGTTAAAAAATGCTAATGATTTTGCCGCCCCCCTCCATTATGGGTTAATTTCGAGCCATCATTGTGTGTGATTGTGTTGCCGTGGTAGTACTTCACGTTGCCGACTCCCAACATGCAAATACTGTGAGCTTCAGGGAGCCCTGTTGGTGCACAGATGCCACTTACTCATGAATTATGCATGATTTTAGTTGTCAATCACCACCAGGCACTTTTATTATACAGCACACTGTTCCAATTATGCACTGCAGATCCCCGCCCAGTGCACCATAGCATTTACTACGTTTGTTAAATATTCAGATATCCATATATGATACTGGCCAGCTTATAAATAATGCATGAGATTAGACCCAAACCCCGCCTACCTTTTTTGTAGCCAATCCTTCTAGTTTAGATCATTCCTGTGTGCTTCCTTAAATTCCTACCAGTAGTTGCAATATCGAAGTAGCCTTAAACATGTAGTCTTATACATCAGTCCAGATAATCTGATAATGAATTGTTCACGTGCAACTTATAAGATGTCACTGCCCATTTGCCCTACTTTGGACTCTCTACATTATAACTAGGGTGAAAAAAATGCAGAACAGTACTGTTAAATAGAGGACACTGAAGTTATGTTGCTATTGTGTGCCAACGCTCAAATACACTAGGTTTGTGCACGTTCCGTTCAAAATTTGCCATGCGTACTCATGTTGTTATCATGATTTAACCAGCTTGCGCCTGTGATGTGTCCTTTATGGGCACCGTGCACCAACCAGAGAGGGCGCTTTTTCACCATTGTCGAGAGCCCATTGGACGGGGCACATCACATGCGCACTCCGGTTCGTGCACGTAAAGTGCAAGACTAATTTTATTGTTAAGTACACTCGAGTAGTTTTTATCTGAATGTGCACAAAGCCATAGTGTCTTCGCGCGAGTGCCAGGCAATCTGTTCGAATGTCTCCCTCAACTCTCCCTTTCTTACCGTTGAGGGGGTACTCATGCACGAAGCCCATTTCATCTTGTGAGTGAGGCACACAGCACCATTTACAGTCCATGCACACAGTCCATAACCACTGCCAGTGTTCTCAAATCCAGCGTTTACCATGTTTTCAAATCCTTAATTAGCGCTATTTTTTTTATTAGAAAGATCATATCAAGTCTAAATTGAAAGCCAGTATCTAATTTATAAGACAAAAACTTATAATAGCTTTTACCTAATTTGCTTTGTAGGTATATTAGAAGCATAAATGCAATTGTAATTAAGATGTTAACACATAAAAACTGCCATAAAAGAATAAACTAGTAAAACAACAAACCTCCAGAAACCTGCATTCCCCTGCGTTCACCCTACCTGTCTCTCTCACTTCTTTGTACCCACCCCGTCTCTCCTCTTGTACCTCCCCTCTCCACTTGTACCTCCCCTCTTGTACCTCCCCTTTCCTTTTTATCCCTTTCACATTTGTGCTTCGTTCTCCCTGCAAGTGGCAATCATATCCCATCATCTTCACTTCTCCTCTAGCATTATTAAAGCAAGCGACTCATGACAAGTTCTTTTATGCCACTACACATCAGTTTCCATCAAAATCATCTTATTCCACCTCAACCACCAAAATCCAACTCCATTCCACCCCATTCACCACTGTCTCACAGGATCCTAACCTACCTTACCCCAACCATCCAACCATCCAACCCTACCCATCCACTCTAGCCTATTCCAACCTCTTGACCCTAACCACTCCCACACAACCACCAACCCCCCCCCCCAACCCCACCACACCCACCACACCCACATCCCTCACCCAACCCCACCCTACTACACTCCACCGACTCTACCCAACCAACCCTTACCCCTTACAACCATCCAACCACACCCCACCCCGGCCCGCCCCACCCCACCCAACCTACCCTTTATACTTGCCTAATCCTTACCCACCCCAGTCAACCCTATCCTGTCCATCCCACCCCTTTCCCATCTTGTCCAACCCCACCCCTTTCCCATCTTGTCCAACCCCCCACCCAACCTCATTAAAGATTGCACCCTACCCGTACACCCAACCATACCCAACAACCCACCCCTGGGCATCCCAGCCATGTCATCTAGCCCATCCTAACCCATCTTACCTTACCCCACTCAAACCATCCTGCCCAAACCCACACGCTTTTCCCACTCCATAATACCCTAGTGAAATCCCTACCCCAACCATGCTACCCTACCCCCACCCATATTGACCATCCTTCTCTGTACCAGCCCAGCATCTCAATCATCCCACCTGTTAACCAACCCGCTCATACAAGTGTGTATTTGCCTGCAATCGGGGACCCCCTATTGTCCCTCTTTTGTTTGTACTCTAACTTTTTAGGAAGATGTCCCGTATATTTTATACACGATTCTAAATTGGGGACCTTCAGGAATTGGGGACCCTATTGTCCTCTATTGTTCAATGTCCCCTATTGAATGCAGAAACAAACTCACCCCAACCTACCCACTCACTCCAACCCACCCAATCCCCAAACCTGCACAATACCCCAAACCCACCCAATCCCCAACCCACCCAATCCCCAACCCACCCAATCCCCCAACCCACCCAATCCCCCAACCCACCCAATCCCCCAACCCACCCAATCCCCCAACCCACCCAATCCCCCAACCCACCCAATCCCCCAACCCACCCAATCCCCCAACCCACCCAATCCCCCAACCCACCCAATCCCCCAACCCACCCAATCCCCCAACCCACCCAATCCCCCAATCCCCCAATCCCCCAACCTGACCAATCCCCCAACCCGCCCAATCCAAGCATTACACTTGCCCACCCAGTCTTTGCCCTCTTTTGTAATCATCCTACCAACATCCCCCTTCATTTAACAACCCCCCCCCCCAAAAAAAAAAGAAAATGGAAACAATGTTGCAACCTGACGCCACTTTTTTCTTCATAATCATCTCACTGAAGGTCATTCATTGCAAAAATGATGATAAGACATGAATCTGGGAATCATCGACTCTCCGTAGACATTGTACACAATCACGGAAGTGGCGTCAGGTTGCAACATTTTTTCCAAGAAAATAGATAAATAAATAAATAAATATAAGTACATAAATATATATATATATCATGCAGTAAATTCAGAAACTTTGGCATATCTATAAATAATAGTAATTAAAACAAAAACAAACATAAAAACCCTAATTCAAAGGCAACCCAACCCTTGCTGTCTTCCCCTTATTTTCAACTGATTCTTTCCCGCCATCTCTTCCCCACCCCAATCCCACACTCAGCCTTGTTGCCAAAAAAAAATGAATATGCACTGCAGCTCTTAATCCCAATATTTGCACAGTTTTTATTTGGTGGATGTGCTTGTACAGCAAATAACTGCACTCGACATTTGCCATTGGATAGACACTGCACAAGCACCTCATAAAGAACTTGCACATCCTAAAATCAACTGTGTGATTTCATCCAGGATTTAAGACTGTGAAAAAGTTAACTTGGGATATAACTTGTTTAATCCGTTATTATTTAGTTTATATTGCAAGTTAGGTTCAGTACAGGAGAGCACAGTTTGAATTTTAACATAAGTACATGTAGCTGCTGTGGCCAAGTTGTACTGTACTGGTCTATAGTCAGGATAGTAGAAATAAAATCTAAATTTGGCATGGCTTAGTTTCCCTAACTCAAGAATTATTTTATCTGGATTAATTTGTTCAAGTTGATTAGCCTTCCATTTGTTCTTCCCAGTGCGTTATAACCCACCAATCCCTTTGCACAGATAAGTGTCACCCTCGTTTAAAGATAACACGGTGTTAGTTTTGAATTAAAAAAAAACAAACTTAATCAATTAACAAAGGATACTTCCCGTTCAAAACAGGATTCTAAGTTCAGACAATCAATAGTGTTGAGCACAGATGGTATAAGATGTCTGAATCAAAAATCAAAACCCAATAATATACATGTGTTCCTTATGGATGGAAGTTTAGTGTTAACTCATTTGCGGTAGGATTTGATTTTCTGTAAGTGGTGTGCAGCCTTTTAAGCAGCACTGGTTAGCCAAAATGTGGTTGGTTGTCATACATACTCCTTAAAAGACACAAATTGTATGACCCCCAAAAAAGGAAATTGGGTAAACTCTTGATAACAGCATGCTCAAAAGTCCACTGCCATTAATTGAACTGGACATATGTTCCTTGACATCTTAAGGATTGTCCACATAAAAACAAGATTACGTAAATTTGCAGGCACTTCATTTTTCAAGATTACCAAGATTTTCTAATTCTTTTACACTCCACGGATCAGCAATACTCGGAAACAACTTTGCACAGGCTCAAAGCATTCCAAGTGTAAGCTTGCCTTTTTTTCCCGTGGAGAATCTTACCTTTTTTTGGCTTCCGTTGAATTCTTTTCCTGAACAGGAGCGACGGAAGATGGAGGAGGAAGAGCTAAACGAAAAGCTGACCCGGCGGGTCCAGCGCGAGGCACGTCGGCAGCACCACCAGCAGCAGCTAAAGCGCCACCGCATGGCCCAGGAGATCCAACGCCAGTTACAAGAGGTTGAAGTCAAGCAACGAGAGCTGGAGAACAGAGGCGTGTCTGTGGAGAAAGCCCTAAGAGGCGAAGGCTGTAAGGATTTTTGTTGTGAAACCTAGGGCCTATCATATGGCACTGCTTAACACAGGCATGCAGCTTTTCCTCGGATCAGCTGATTTCCTCGTTTTTCATTTCACACTTACGCCATTCAAACTGAAAAACACTGTATAAAGTCTTGCATGCCTGTGGATAACAGCAGAAAAAGTAACAATACCAAGATTATATAACAGTAATTGTTATGTTGTGTCTCGGATTCTGTAAATCCCCAAAATTTGCCAGACGCAGGACACACTTGCGCAGTAAAAATATGTTACAAGAAAAAAAATGCCAGGTATTTATATTGCTTGTAGCTGATTCTCGGCTAACTTTAGCCGCTAAATTTGAGAAGCATTTTTTTCTCTGCTTAAATGTATACAGGATCATTTGCATTTACCCCAAAAGTAACCTACTGAAATATTATCAAAATGCTTACTTGGATTAAAGATGGTACTGGTACTAAACACCCCATGAGCTTTTTCTGTCTTGATTGCTGTTATTTAGAAGAAATCAAGAAAGGTATGTCATTTCCAACAACTAGTTAATTGGCTGTTGGAAATAAAGAGTGCTATTGACAAAATCCTTTTTTTTTTGTGATCAAAATGTTGTGCATGGTTTTTCACTGTTTTCTCCAAAAAAAAGTGTGATATCTACTGAGCCGAAACTTCAACAGGTTAGGTATTGAACATTCTTCTTTGGCTTTTGAGTGGTTTTATTATTGGAAACGAACAACAACAGATGATCCTATATGCCTTTAAAACAGATTCCAAGCTTGTGTTCCTGAGTAGTGAATAAGATCTAGCTAAAAGTGATGTCTCTTTTGTTTCACAGCTTCTGAGGTGGATGAGAACACCCTGATGCAGCAGTGGTTCAACCTGGTCAACGAGAAGAATGCCCTAGTCAGATACGAGTCAGAGCTCATGGTTCAGTAAGTCCATTCATGTCATTTTGGTCATGTACCTGGAAGGCAGATCTATAACACAATGCACAAGAGTTCCACATGAAAGGCACCAGCCCATTGAGGCCAATTTATAGTCAATCGCGCGACTTAAAAATTGACGCGCACAAATTGATGAGCACACTGGCGATGTCGCTACCGAGCTCAAATGATTGAACTTTGACATGGCTGCTCACCTCACTTTTCATCATTGAACCAATGGGAGTGCTTAATCTGTAAAAAAAAAATCATGAATATGCATGTACGGCACAAATATCGTACAAAATGGACGACTGTGTTTTTTCTAAGACAATATCCAGATATTTTACCATTTGCCAGGTTGATAACAGAATCGGAAATTAATGGAAAGTAATATTTTGTTCAGCAGTAGCAATGCTTAATTGTCACACTTCACAGTTGAATTTTGTTTGCATAACATGTGTGATATGGCTTAACAAACGTTGTGTGACTATAAACTGCCTAAAATGGTTTAGTGTCGAGCAACCGTCAGCGTCAGATACTCATCATTGCGTGTCCGCCTAAAAATCGAGCCTTTACCATGTTTACAATCGAAAGCATTAAACTGTGCCACAACATTTCAAACTCAAAATCGGTGTCAAGAATGGTTGCATAGTTTGTCCGTTTGTGTTGAAAATTTGATTTTATGTTTAGAGCATGAGTACATTTAATTGAAAATTTTGATCCGTCAAAATCTCATTTTAAGACAAGGGTCTCAAAGATATTAATAGAATCTTTTCAGTTTGAATTATGCTTTTCACAGATGGGAAATTACTTGAATCTGTGGATAAGTTTTTGTATGATCTTAAATGATTTATTCTGCTGAATTGTCTCGCCAGGGCCCGTGAGTTGGAACTGGAAGACAGACACTGTCAGCTGGAGCAAGAACTCAGGCAGCGCATGGCCATCGAGGGTAAGAACTCATATGTCCGTCACCATCCTCGCCCGTCATTTTTATATCTGTTGACTATTCTCCTTACCCAGCTCCTGGTTACTCTTCAATCACAGAAATCAGATCGGACGTTTGCAACCCTCTGAACTCTTTTCATCAGACGATATTAGTTTGAGGTCATTTTGTGCATTGTTTAAATTGTCCCATTATGGTAATTAACCCTTTAAGCAGGCATGCAACTTTTCCTCGGATCCGCTGATTTCCTCGTTTTTTTAAACTTCTCGTGAATGCCATTACAAATTGAAAAACACTGTACAAAGTCTTGTGTTGTTTGGAATTTCCTCGTTTTTTTCTAAATTCCCAGTTTCATGCCTGTTTAAGGCGAATTTCAGTCCAAAGCGAATTGGTTAGGGTAACGCCAAACGTCACAATGAAAGTTCAATTGTTGACGTCATGAAATTCGCTTCGCTTTCACTTTCGCATGAAGTATGAACCTGCCTTAAGTTCCCGTATTGCCCAAACCGGCATGCCAGTTACTCCCTGTACCACACCAGACTGCCCAAGCACTGTTTGGCTGTATGGATTCATTAGGAAATAAGTACAATTTAACATGTAGTACAGGTGTTAATGGTAGATAACACGTTGCAAAGGAACAGGACATAATTCTGTGAGATTTTTCGCTTATTTTTTGCTTATAAAAATCCAGTGCTCAAAATCAACCACCTGTTACTCCAAGAAGAGAAAAGTGTTGCACGATGCTCTCTCAAACCTTCATCTTCTTGTCATTTAATCATGCTAGCCTTTCATGAAATTCAGCACATTAAAGAGCATTAGGTAAAATCAACCATTCGTTTGTCTGTGTTGTTAACAGATGGAAGCAAGACCGACCAAGATCGTGAGGTTGAGAGGCTGCTTCTGGAGGAGATGTTGGAAGTCGTTGAGCAGAGGGACGCTCTTGTAGCTCTACTAGAAGAAGAAAGACTCAAGTAGGTCTTGCTTCACAATGTAGCCTACTTGCCATTTTTGTTTTGTTTTCAGACTTCAAAAATTTACTAAACGCTTAAAAATCATATTTCAAAAACCAACTCCACTACATTTTCAAACAAATGTGATGCGATCAAGCTAAATGAGTCGTTTGTCGGGAATTTTTATTTGGAGATACAGGCCAAAAAAGGGCCACTTCATCACATCACTTCATCACATCTCTTGGTGTTCCAACTCCCATAATTAGTGAACTAAAGATGGCATCAGCATGCGGCTTTCACAGCAGTAATGCTGAGGTTGTACTCTTTTCAAATCTGCAATAAAAAAATTTTGACCAGGGTCGACAAACGACTCATGTAGCTTGATCGCATCACAATTGGGCTTCATAATAGATCATGATGCATTGTAAAAACAGTGCAAGGACAATGCTGGGTGCATTAAAAAAAAATAATCAGCATTGGTTGCAAGTTTGTAAAAAAAAATAATCCTGCTCTCCATATTTAAGTTTTAAAACTGTGAGCAAAAAATCTTTTATTTATTTATTAATTCTTTTAGAGGGTGGGATGCAAAATGAATCTTGACCTTTTCGTAGTATGAAAAGATCTTTTTTTACATGTAAATTGCTTTTCGTGAGCAGCAAGGTTTTCAAGGTCAACCAAACTATTTAAGAAACTAACCATGTTCTTTTGAACTGCAAATGACATATCACAGCTTGTTTCAAAGTTTATCTCACCAGTAAGCAGTGCTGTAGTCAAAACCTTTCGAGACCTCACTTATTGTTTTCAATTGTTTAAATTTTCAGCGACAAAATAAGTCGAACAACTATGCTACAGAGTGTCATTTTTAGATGAAAGAATGCCGAGGTATATTTTTTGAGACCAACATTCAAGTTGGGGTAAAAATTTCCTTATTGAGAGTCAAAATCTGTTCGAGACCTTCTCAAACTATTTTCCTCATCCATTTTCAAGATCAATTTCTCCTGATGACGAACAGAGCACACTGTTTGAAACCTCAAGTTTAAACAACTGGTTCTTGGAACCACACAACTCAAAAGAGATATCATTCACATGGTGTTACCGCAAACGTTCCATTCTTTGTTCATGTCCACCATGCAAACCTTTTAAGTCTCATTTAATTTTCCCAACGGTTAAGTTTGTTCAAAGTCATGGCACTGAGAGTCTTTTCTCACTCACATTAGACTTCATTCAAATCTGACATTCCATTATATAAGCATTTGTGTGAGGTCTCTAAAAAGCTCTCGACTGCAACACTGCCAGTAACCATGTCCAATGCAAAGCACTGTCAACTCCATCAGTTTTTCATCCTTTGTAACTAACATGTATAGACATTGGTATTAACACACTTGTTGGGCAGTAGCACGCATTGTTAAAAAAAAAAAGGACTTCTTCGTAAGGCCGGATCCAGAACACAATTTTTTGGGGGGGGGGGCAAATGTGTTGTTTGTTCCCCGAAAAAGTGGGTCCAAAAATTTTCCGCTCCTAATTTAATATGAAGAGGTGGGGGGGGGGGGGGGGGTGCACTAGGATTCTTCATGGCATTGGTGCATGGTGGCAATTTTAATGCTGCATGCAGCAGCTGCCTTTTTTGCGACGTCATTTTCAAAACAAAGTGGGTTCGTTTTTGGCGGGGCCATAGCCCCTGTTGGCCCAAACCCCCCCTTGGATCCGCCGTTGCTTATTTTATGAGTCCAATTTTGAGATTTGAGTGTTGCTTTCTTCCCTCCTCTCGTTTTTGTCACCTTAGCACCGAGGAAGCTTTGGCTTGTTTGAAGGCTTGTCAGGAACGTTTTCCTTCTTCCAACATAACACCATTAACATTAGAGGTACAGGGTCCCGCAGTCCGCGGGAATTCATGCCTGCTGCACAACAAACTCCCTTTTTTTTTGGTCAGGTCATTTTGTTTTTCCCTAAATCCCATGCCCCCCTTCCCATCCGCATGAAATTTAAATGATTACTTTGCATAGTAACTTTGGCATCTATGGGAAATGCGAAGGGCCTTTTTTGTGCACCTAGAAAAACCAGGTGAGGACACGTGGTTGCGAGCAGTCCACGTGGTTGCGAGTAGTCCACGCATGTTGAAGTTCAGGCCTTAAGGCAATCGGCTGTGCTGTAGAAAACTAGTTTGATACAGAACAGTCACACTGGAAGAATTGGGCGTGTGCAGTGAAGCAGGCCATGCCAATCGGATCAGAGTTGGAATCAAGTCAACGTGAGTCAACACAAGTCACCACAAGCCGTCCAGTCACAAGTCAAAACGCTTTTCAAATGAACTGTGAAGGCCTACTAACACATGTGTAAATAATGGCATGTTTTTTATAAATACGCACAAATCAACGTGTGTATATTTACATGCCAAAGCCCTGCGTCTTTTTATTGCGTAATATTTTTTAATCAAATTCAAAGTGATTTTATCGCGCAACACACAAGATCACATACGTTTACTACCTGGAACCTGCGCCTGAATTGATTGGTTGTAAAAGACGGATGAAAAAAATCTCACGGCATATCGACGATATAGTGCATTTTTAGACACACGTGCGTCTGTGATGAAATCGCGAATGTGTAAATTGGTCTTAATGAAGGCATGTCCTTGTTACTGTTTGTCTGTTATATGTGACCTTACTTGTGAGTTGACCTGTGACCTGACTTAAGGTTTGACTTGGTGACTGACATTCAGCGTGGCCACTCCTTGGGATTTTTCCCAAGGTCTTAGGAGTTTAGGCCAGAGCTTGGGAACATTTCGCTGAGCCTTGGGATTTTTTTCGCAATTGAGAACACACGAAAGTATGGATTGCACATTTGCGAAATGTTAATTGAAGCACTTGACAAGTCTTGTGAGCCCCATTCCCATAGAAGTAGGGTCTGTGCTGCCATTTTAATACACGATGCTAATATCTCGGGAAATCTTGGGAATTTTTCTGTGGTCATCTTGGGACTTTCAAGTTTGATGAGTGGCCACGCTGCTGACAGTGCCCTCTTTTAGAAGTATCAATTAGCTATTTTGCTGTTTTGATGGCATTGTTGTGCATGCTACTCTACCGTCATTTTCCATCACACATGTAACTCACAGCATGTTTAAAACTGCATTTTGAAGAAGAAAAATTGCATTGCATACCTGCAGCCTGTGAGCATGTGAATGCCTTAAAAGCATGATGAAATTCAGGTCACAACATCTGAGATATAAAACTGAAGAAAAAAACCATGATTTAATTTGTTTTGTTTTTATTATACCACCAGCAGCCCGACTTGCTTTTACCTTTCATGAAAATCATTGCATTCCATCCTGAACCTTCCTCTGCTCCCTAACCTAATCCTTAATCCACCCACCCTGCATTAAACAGTTCTTGGTCTTTCTTTTTTAGCATGTTCAGGACAAGCTCATGAAACAAATGTTAAGTCTTGCTTAATATTTAGGAATATATGTTCAAAGGATCTTGATTATGATATTTTTTTTTAGCATGAATATTGGAGAGCAAGCATGGAATATACCCAGCATGTTCGAAGTCTAGTTCAAAACATATAAAGAAATATGTAACTTCTCAATTGTGGATAGTTGTCATGCCTAAAAACTTGCCCAGAAGAGAACTCCAGAGGGCACTGTTTGAATGATATGAGACAATGTAAACATCATGAGCAAGTTCAGGCGAGGATCATTAGTCGACTTGCGGTAGATTTGTGACTTAACTTACGCCTGTGCACTAACAGAAACATGCGAACACCAGTGAAATGCTGGTCAAAACGTCATCACGAAACTACTTCATCCTGGTTCCCTGCTGTACATTATAATGTGCGTGGCTATTGGTAACCAGTGATGGAACCTTGCCCTGGGCTAGGTTACAAATGAATTAGTCGACTAGAGTAGTCCAACCGTCCTGCGTTCAAGTGAAGTTAGTTGAACAACATGTATGGTTAACCAGACTCTTCGCCTGAACTTGCTCATTGTTGATGTGTTGACTTCTTTGGTATTTGTTGTCCTCGTCTGCTCGAACGGGAATTTCTGTTTGTAATATTTTAAATCACAATTACAGTGCCTCATGCTCAGTGGCGGTTTGGAGAAGAACAAAGAAGTTAAAGAAAAAGACCTTTTTGTACAAAAGAAGTTTGTTCTTCCTCACCTTCTTTGATGTGATTTTATTCTTAAATAGCATGATGAGGAGTTTTCGATTTGGGTTCAACAAGTAATCCCTCTCCCCATTTTGCCTTTCCCCCTCCCAATCCAGTTAAAACATTTTCTATTGATTTTTGTGAAAATTACAGTAAAGCCTTTGTCCCCTTACCAGAAGAGCCAAACATTTTTGGAAACCCAACTTGACAAAGCCCTTGAACAAAATGAATGGTGTACAGGCATCCTTTTCAACTGTGCAAGAATCGGTTCAGATTTCCAAATTCTATCATCCCCTCTTTTATACAAATGGTTTAATCCATGTGCGTTACTTAGATGTGTTCTGTTTGGAATGTTCCATTTTCATTAACAGGGAGCGCAAGGAGGACATGGATATCGAGGAGATTATGCTCAAGAAGGGTCTTCTGACAGCGAGAAGTGACGTGCCAATACACGTCTGAGGTTAGCCCCATCAGGTCTCCATATACTATGCCATTACAGAAGTTTGTAAAAGATTTTGCTGAAGTTTTTCTTTATGAAGCCTTACTGCAAGTGTAATAATGCATAGCATTTAAAAACTTCTTTTATTGCACAAACTTTCTCAAAGAAGATTAAGACTTGCTAAATCCTGCCCCTGTCCTTTTTGCCACGCAATTCTAGCATTATCAAAGGAAGTGTAATGTCCGTGACAGAGCGAAAGAACCATGTACCTAATTAATGGTTCAGAGAAATGATCCAAAACTCCCAGTCTGAAATCTCTGTGACCATTGCTAGATGATGGATATGTAAGATTTGAAAAATATATGTCTGACATGGACATTAAATAATGCTGGAATTGGTCATGTATTTTATGTGGGTTTGTTTTGGCATACACAACAGCAGGGTTTAATATCGTGGAGCTGATGAGCAGAGAATGACAATATTGCTTAGCATTAGCAAAATTATGTCTTAGAGAAAATGAGACGTGATCCAGTCATGAGCCCGACTGTTTTACTCTAATCTGTGTTGGTTAAGGAAATTTGTTAAATCGTGTCTTGGATACCGTAGTTTCATCTTGTTCGTTGGTCTAGAAGGGCCTCTTGTCCAGTCTGTAAAAATGACTGTTTACTTCATATACACTGCATTACATATTAATTACCTCATATACACTGATGAGCATAGAAATTATCTCATATACACCGCCCTGCATATTTATATTGCGCGCACGTGAAGGGTGCGTGTGTAGGGCCTGCTACCTTCACAACAGAGAACTGCAACCTCAATCTCATGTATGGCAGGAAAGCTCACAGTAAAAAAGTTTACACTGCAGTGTTTTAATTATTTCTTGAAAAGTGAGTTAAAAATGTTTATCTTTTTGGCTAATTGGCACGACAAAACCAAGCAATCATTGATACCATAACCCTCTTCACGGCAGTCAACAATTGTGAAATATACTTTCGGTCGTGAGTAATATATCTGTGCTTAGTAGCCCCACGACGTTGGCCCTTGATCCGGGACGAGTTGTTCCTACTGGTAATATGTATTTATTCCTCCATTAGGTAGAAGGAATATTCAAAGTCCGTGGACTACCACATGCCTCATTATCCTGTCCTTATTTGCCCATTGAAACTGGGAACATGGTTGAAAACTCCAGTTTTACATTTTGTTTGTAAATGTTTTGAATATTGAAGAAAACAAAACCAGGGAAACAAGCTGTTTGTAGTTTTCTAGTGGCAACATTTTTTTTCCTTTTTACATACTGTATCTATGTCTAAAATTACGTTGTACAGAAGCCAGCAGCAATGCAAGTGAACCTTTTGCTATAGAGAATATGGGATCATATGAGGCAATTATTTAAATTATAAATTTGCATGAACGATGCAACCAAATTTATGTTATATGTGTTAATGTGATGTTATATTGGTTACATGTGTGTGTGTGTACAGGTATGTGTAAGAAAAATTCAGTTGAATGTTAATCTAGATTTTCCACATATTTTGTTTTCTTCAAATATGCGCTTTGTTCCAATTGTCTCAAACCCTACTTCAAATTATAACTTTAACATTTCTCATTATTTAGTTTGATGTCCAAAATTAAACCTTTTGGGGAAAATATGCATAACAACCGAGGCTGTCTATTTGACCAAAATAATTGTGTGTATCTTTGTTTCTTTGTTCAAATATTCAAAATTATATTTTTCGTAAATTGCTCAGACTGGTTAGAATTAATTTGAAGTTAAAACAGCTTTATCATTTTAATCGCATTAAAAGTTTCTTGCAAGTGAATACTTAAAAAAATATTTTTATCACACTGTGACAGTGCTAACAAGTGTGATTTGAAAGTGTTCTTTGACAATCTGGCACGTTAACTTTAAAGCTCTCACATTACCATATGCTTAATTGATTTTACATTGGACAGAATGTTTTGTAAAAGTTAGTGCACCACATTTTATGTAAATATAAGTTTGTGTCTCGTATCTTTAAATTATTGTCGCATGACATATTGTGGAGCCTGTACATGAAACGTTTCTGGTGCGCTGCGAAGTGTAAAAACAGAATTTTTGTGGCATTGAGGTGGAAATTTACGACAACTGCACTTGAAAACCAGTGTTCGGTGCTTAACTTATTCCAAATCGTAAGTTTGCGCCTGTAATGATATGCAAATGTATAACTGGCAATATCTAGATTTGAACGGAAAAAAGTATGTCATTACATTCCATGTGCATACTTTGTTTTTCTGTGTGGGCTGTTTAGTGCAAATAGCAAAGGTCCTTAAGCGGAGTTGCTGATATTTTTTTTAGTGGGTTTATATCATGAATTATTTATTATGTTCAGTTTTGCATTTGTTTATGTCCTTCCTGCTGGCTGCATTTAGTACTCATTTTTATACCGCTTTGGAAAAAAAACAAAAAACAAAAATGTGCTTTGTATCGTTTCTTGTGCTGTTCAATTGTTCTTAGAGTATCGAGGTTGAGATAAATTTTGTCTGAAAAGGGGCAATTTTCCAAATTAGGAAATGTTCCATATAAAAATATAAAACACAACTTGTTTTTAAAAGTATACGCTGTCACTTAGCTGCAAATCATTTTCTTCGAAAACCAAAGAAGTTGATTTTTTCCCATTGTATAGAACAGCTATCAAATAAGTTGTTTGTTGAACATTCGAATATCAAAACTTCAAATCTAGCGTAGGAATAAGTTATGATGATAAGCTAAAATGTTATTGATTCCCGAATTATTTCTCTCGTAAACAGTACTATATGGAGTACTAACATGACATTCGGTATGTTGCGTAAATAACTGCAAGTATTTTAAGAGCTATATCAAAAAAAGCGTTTTCTTTCTGGAAAGTAAAATAGCTGATGTAGTAATTTAATATTTTCGCCTGTACCTATTTATTAAAAAACATGGGCCGAAACAAAAAAGTAGTTATGTTTCTGGAATTGGCATTAAAAGCAAAGAGTAAATGGATTGAAGAACCACATTATAATGTATTTGTAGATGTAGAAAGAATTTCATAAATGAATAAGCAGATTTTAATTCACTTATTTAACAGTCCGATTGTGAATTAATAATAAGGAATATGCGAAGATTTCCATCTTGTCAGTTTTGTACAAAGTATTCGGTAATAAATATATTTGAATACAAACTATGTTTATGTTGCCGTTACTCCTGTCTCTCCCCCCCCCACTCCCCCCCCCCAAAAAAAAACCTTTTTAAAAACGAGTTGTAGTCTACCCATCCCCTTTTCCCGAGGATTCGCGAAAACAGGTAACCTTCCTTTGCAAACGTACATTCTGTGCAAAGTTTCCCTTTCAGTCCAAATCAAACAAGTGGCTGTTTTCAACAGTTTTTAGAGCTCCCAGCCTACATAAAGCAGGATTGACTGGATGTGACTGTGTAACTTGATACAGCTATAACAATGCTTTGACTGCAGGTGATTGATAAGCCAGCTGTGCCAACCACTTGCTTATTTTTGTCTGTTGACTGAATTTGACTAGCCACAGTACTTGGATTGATTGTTTTGACTGTCTGCAGGCGCGGATCCAGGGGGGGGGGGGGGGGGGGGGGTCAACCCCCCCCCCCCCCCAGCTGTCCATATTGTTTGTTTTTCCATAGAAATTCCAAAAAAAAAAGTCGAAAACCCCCCCTGGTGTGACACGCCAAAAATATTTATACTGTTATAATGTCTGCCTGTTCAAAATACGGTACACCATTCTGTAATGTAGTGCTAATAATCGTCGAATTTGAACAGCGCCCCCTATTGAAATATGGTAACACCCCCCCCCCCCACCCCCCAGTTTTTGATTTTACGGAGGCCAAGTGTCCAGGGGAAAAAACCGGTGCACATTTCCAGATTTTTTTGCTAATGAAACCCCCCCCCCCCTGCGAAAATTCCTGGATCCGCCCCTGGTCTGTGACTGTTCAGATAGCAGGAGGGTTCTTAAGATAAAATAACATTAAAAGTGCCATTCCACCTTGTGTCTTGCCGTGAGACTAGGGACCATTAGATTTTTGTTGTAAAATTTGCTCCGTGAATGACCATTTTTAGTGGTTATTTCATCGGACATACTGTACTAATGGGTATCTCTCATCAAAATGTTGCGATGTAGATAATTATGTGGGTCTGGCGAAATAACCCCACACAATAGTGATTTAATCAGGTTTTTTCCCAAGCCGCATACGTATCTCGTATGAATATAACGCGAATGTTTTGCCGATGACATATTTTGTTTGGGTAATTCACCTACAAGTCCCGTCTGCTTCTCACCATTTTGACGTGCGCCGTAAATTGCCTATAGTGTGCCAGTAAAATAACCATACAGATTTGTTTCTGTGCAATCGGCAACTTTTCTGAACGTGTCCCGTACGTGCCAACGGGGTACTCTATAAACTGTAAGGAAGGGCTAAGTTTTCCTGAAATTATAGGGAATGCTCAATTGAGCTGATTTGCTTTTAAGGCATTTATTATTGAGTTCCCCCGTACTTGCATTGTTTTCAACAGTCATTATTTATATTTTTTTAAGTATTATTTCGAGAGACCAAAAATAAGGCCGTGTCCCAAGCGGCCTTCCAAATCTAATGATATACAGCTACGTCCGTTGCCAGCATTTCAAAACGTAGTTATCAACAGAGACCTAGGTACTAGACACTAGACAAGTTATTTGGATACGGCCCAACTATCGATTCTTAAAAGGTTATCTACAAAATTGTACTACACCTTTCCGGTGCAGACCACAATCAAATCGCACCTGTGTCCAAACAACTTTGGTATGCAGTCACACAAAAGATATGGAGAGCGTCCAAGAATTCCTAAAGTTCCGCTGCGTTACCTGATTGGTGGGTATTTTTGGAAGTTCCGCAGGCGGGCTGTGATCAGGCTTTTGTTCGGTTGCAAAGAAAAGCAGTTCCACTGTCTTGGAAGATTTTTTAGTAGGAGCCCTCAAGTGCCTGCTGTATGCACCATACACGTACCTCGGTTTAGTTTTTTATAGCATAAATTATACTTAATGCACGAACATTCTTCGAGGACTCACCGTTGAAATAAAGTTGGCAGCGCGGAAGGATTTAGTTACGTTCTAAAAGGAATTAGGTTACATGGCGATCTAGAAGTTACTGGCTGCTCTTTTGTGCTCGTATTTATATTGCACGAATTAAATGGAACCACAAGAGCGATTAGCCTACGTTACTAAATAAAACAACAGCTTGACTTTTGCTCAGTGAAGTATTGTTTGGAATCGGTATTGGGCCTCAACAACTTAGGATTACGTTGAGCCAAGAAACGACCAAGATCTCGACAGAGAGGCAGGTGAGTTCAAATATCACATTTACAGCAAGATTTTCGATGTTTTTGTTGAGTGCTTGCCGTACAAATTTTCGGCACTGTCTCGTTGAAGCATGTAGAAAGGAAAATTCCTCCATGGTTGAAGTTTCCGGCCTCTATAGTTTTCATTTGATTGTTTTGATCGTTTTAAAATGACTTCGGCAACAAGAAGTAATCCTCTTTTATTTAAATAGTTTGTTTGGTTGAAATGCAATTGTCTTACTGATTTTCCAGTTGATGCCATGCGTGTATGCGAATCGTTGCAGTTTTGTGCATTCACGATGCACTCGCCGTGGCCGCCATTTTATTTTCGTGCTGCGTGCTGTCTTGCTCAATCGTTTTACCCTAAGATTTCGTCCCATGTGTACGTTTGTGCACTGTGCACAACCAACAAAATGACGGCTGAATAGTCCTACTTCTTTCCAATAGTTGAGCTCTATCAAATCGTTCGAGTACAATAATCTAGTTTGCGTACTGAATGTGCCGGGTATGTACATGGTTAATCGATGTTATAAATACTTGTTATAAATCAGTGTTCGCAATGTATTGGCTGCTAGAGTGCACTACCGAAAGCGGATAGCCCCTTAAAGCCTTTTACATGCATTTTTAATTTTCAGCCTTTTAAATTCTTAGCCTGTTTTTTTGAAGGACATTATATAACAAATGAAGGTCCAATGAAGAGTATGGTTAGGGCGCCGGGGATTGTAAATCTTGAGACTGAGAGAATGTTTAAATCAAGAGAAGATGTATGGCTACAGAATTGTGGCCTTGTGTCGTCGGGTTGAATGAAAGGGACAAAATAATGTACTGGTTCCTTTCGTGGCATTAAAGTTTGAAGTAGGCCTAAATGAAAGTCACTAGACACACATGTACATTTGTTATCAAACGCTTTGAGTGTAAACATCGTCAACCAACCAAGTTTTATTCCACCTTGGCCCATTAAATTGCAAATATGATCTGAAAATAGTATATTGCACATGTAGGGCTACGTTAATTTATATAATCCATAATATTTATTTGCTTAATTAATTACTTTAACATTCACACGTACACCCTTGTGTGATAATGTGGAGTAGTTTGTTACTTCGTTTCTGATGAAATCCCGGTTTGTTTGTTTTGGTTTTTTTTTTTTTTTACTTTTTGCGACTTCAAATAACGAGACAAAAAAGTAGATTTTCTTTAAAATCCATTCATCACCTTTGAAAGAAAAGTGGACTTATGCTTTTTATAGTTGGCAGGTGACATAAAAATCCCTAATATTCTATTTCAGTAAACATCTATGTATAATGGTAATTATATCAAAAACAATCACAATAAATGGTTTACTTCTTTTAATGACCAATATATACATTGAATTCTTCTTTCTTCCTTCTAAATACACTGCGCCGAAAATAGGGCAATAAATACCAATAGTTGCCATTCTATGTACAAACTTGATAGACAATGTTTCGGTTTCAAGAAACCCGACGACTATTTATCAATCAGTTCGAAATTGTCGTAAAATTATTTCTAAAGACCGCAGTCTCAACTCCTAGACCACAACAGACCGAAAACCTCCTGTTTCTGTATCTTTCCACAAGAGGGCGTGCTCTCGTTGAGTGTTTGCCCGATGACGTGTCATCGAATATCGTTCCTTCGTATGTGTGAATCGTGATGCACTGTCAGAAAACCCGGAGACTGACGTCACTCATCATGACGACATTGTTTCACCAAAACGGTTCCTCATCCACGGTTCGTGTTGCTATGGTGATGAAGGCATCATCTAGTAGTAGTAGCCAGGGTGATTCTCTACGGGGTAGTCGTTGTAACCATTGCACTGTAAGAGAAAAGATAAATGGAAAGTAAGAATACTGAGTAAATTATTTAAACCAGTAAATAGTTTAACATGAAATCAATTGTTCCTTCACGCTGCGTGCTGTGAACCCTCATATTGTTTGATCATTCACAGACAGTCCAAAATGTCTTCCACTTCCCTTGCCATGCATCTGTATACAGGCAAGTAAAAAACAACCAGTCCGATCACTTTCATGTAAACACTATGAATAATCAAATTCCATCAACAGACAAAAGAGGTAACTAGGTACAGCTGGCATATCAATCACCGCCAGTCAAACCATGACAACATTGACTTGACAAGGTAATGTTTAACTGTTAAAAACAGTCGCTTGATTGTTTTTGACTGCTGTGATGGCGTATCTGAATTTGCCAGGCAGGGAGGGAGGGAGATTTATGGTTCAAGGTGTTTAACAGAAGACCGTATTAATTTGTCCTTTTGTCTTTGAAAATGTTCCCCGTGCGCGGATGAGCATCGTCGTTTTGCATTTTTCCAAGATAGGTTCATCCCATAAACCTCCCATAAACCTCTCCAAGGTTTGATACACTGTTTATTTGAATTGCCGCTCATACAAACAGTTTTACATGAGAACACTTTGGATGTGCGACCGCGTGAACGTTTTTCGTGAAATTTATCAAAGACTATACATATAGATATTTGGACAACCTTAAGTTGCCAAGAAGGTGCCAGTGATCAAGAGGTGATTTTTCTCTTCCCCTTGTCATACACTGTCTATAAATCGAAGCATCATTGACGACTCGATCAATTCTGCTTGTGAGTGGAATCCACGACCAGAAGTCCGTGCATTGTTGATTCGATCATAACGCCACTCCATGATTAGCCTCTCCTGTATCCAAAGCCGCAGCAATGTGTCCTCATTAGCTTTCATAGGGGGGAATCTGTCCTGTCAACCGGAAGCTATAGAAATATTGCCGGAAGTTGGGCTAGATGTTGGAGCGGAAGTAGATGAACCCTGGCTGAGTGTGTGTGCACCTGCAGTGAGTCGCGGCGGGCCTCGGTGACAATTGCCTCCCGCCAGCCACCCAGGATCTGCAACTCGGATCCAAATTGCTGGATGTTTCCTTGGGAACATAGTACAAACGATCGCTTTGCTCTTACGGTTCTTGCACTCTGTGTCCCATGCAGACCTTTATCAGAACTGCACCGTCTTATAAATTCGTCGTGATTTCTGGAGACAGTCAGTTCAGACACAAACATTTACCGCGTACGATTTGATGTCGAGGGGTACCGCCCAGTGTCCCTACACCCAGTACACACTCTGGACTACTGTTAATCTAACACAACCCCCTGATGGATATTTCAGAAGATTTCCTGAGATTCGCCGTGATGACCAACACAAAAGAGGGGGTCCCCTATCGCATATCTTCCTTCAAATGCACAAACAGGTTTTTTTTTCATGGACTACTTCTTATTTTGTGGACTGCATTCGTTATATCGTATCGAATCTGGCTTCAGTGCCCGCTCTCGCCGGCAACATGTATGGAATGTACGTAGTGAATATGCGTTTAAATAAATGAAGAAACAGAACGAATCAGCTTTTTCAATACAACGCCAATCTCGACATGAGACGAATTATGCCAAAGTTGGAACGAATTGTAACGCTACACACGTGAATAACACTGCCCCCCCCCCCCAACAAAAAAAAGTGTTGTAGTCGAGTACATTTCCATGAGTACTATTTCGAGTCAATACTACCACCCAAAATGAAATCTACATTAATGAAAATGTGAAATTGAAAATAGCAATGGTGCCTAAAGGTGTTTGGAACGATATCAAAGAATCTTTCCATCGAATTTGTGTGATAAAACTTAAAGTTACCAGGAAAACCTATAACACTTTGTGTCGAAAGTGTCTGAAGTTTTTTATAAGAATTATTACATATTAAAATATTCCTACTTGGACGGCCAAAACCCTGAGACCTGAATTTCTTTGGCCTAAGCCCCGTAATCACGGGGTTCTAAAATCGATAGAAAGCCCGGAGCGGCCAGGGATACTGCGATTGAGCGCGTCTCGTATAGATACGGACTCTCGAAATCACCTGCCCAAGTTATTATTCCTCGGGAATGAGATGCATTTCCCTCCCCATTCTGTCTCTCTTGCGCTCTTCCCGTCTCTCTCTTTCCCATTGCAGTTTCTGGTTTTTTTTTCTCTCTCTCTCTTGCAATGAGTTTCCTCTGAGAAATATTACAGGAATTGCCGGAGTAATTAATTCCAGCGCAGTCGCGCCTGACTGAGGGGTTCTAGGGGAGAAGAAATCACCTGCCTTTCCCGGCCGCGCCGGTAAGATCACCTGCCTCGCTCATCCGCTTTCGGATTTAATACACATCATCAAAACATGATTGATATTCATTAGTATCAGTTAGCACGTAATAATTTAGCCACTTAAGGAGTGGACAACCTCGATGTGTTGTTGCAAAGTGGAGTTTACAAGCAGAAATCACAATTGGTTTGTTTTTCCAATCAGTGATATTATGGTCGGGAAGTAAATGGCATTCTCGATCAAATCTGATTGTTAATTACATCAAGGGAATCTCTGATAGCCGTTCTGAGGACTGCGTCTGTCGTGATTATACATAGCGAAATCGGTTTTCAACTGCAGAGCCTCTGTGTGTTGCTAAAAATAATGCAAATTTGGACACCGGGGTTTTTTTAGTTAAAATTTGGAAAACGTAACAATATTTTCATAGGGGGACACGTTTAGGGATTCTTGAATGAAAAGTGCTCTTCTTTAAAGTTACGTGACAATCCTGATTTGTCATTGAAATAACTTCAAGTTCCAAATATATATACCCACTTTCTTATTTTTACCTCATATTATAAAATAAAACAAGAAATGTCAAATGTCAAATATATCTATGCAATTTACTAGAGAATGAAAAAAATGAGGGAAAATTATGACTCACCAATGTTGTGTAGTGTGTGAATTATTATGATTTTGTGCGTGTAATACACTTTTGTAAAGAATAATGTATATTCAAAACTTCAATTAAGAGACAATTCTGGATATTTAGTCTTTTCAACAGTCAAAATGTAAGAATGTAAAGGAAAATGACCACAATTTGTGATTATGTAGTCGAATATCATAAAATACCATTTCCAATTATACTGAAATTGTTCCAAGTCTGTTAAAATTGGATACGTCTTTACAAGTAAGTCGGTGGTCTGACATTAATTGACACGGGCTCCAGTAAAATGCGACTTCGTGCACTGTGCCTACAAAGAGTTACGAGCTGCCCGAGCAATAGATGTGAATATTTTAGAAATCAAAAGGAATCAAAAGCATAAATCAGTTGAAATGAAGAGTAAGATCTTTCTACTGAAAGGTATCCCATAGCCATTACTGGCTGGAGGGGCAGTGGGATGTTAGAGGTCTACTGTTTCAACGGGCGCGGCATATGAGTGGCGGGGCCTTACAAGGGCGGATCCAGAACACAATTTTTTTTGGGGGGGGGCCAACAAAAATTTTGGTCCCCCCAAAAAGTGGGTCAAAAAATTACGGCGTGGGGTTCGGGGCCCGCTTAAGGGCCCCGAAATTTTTTTGGATTCTAAATGCTCTGTGGTGCGATCTGAGGCAATTTCTGACCACTTTAACCAATTTTTTTGAGGAAAAGATGGTGGTGTACTCATTGCCTGCCTATATTGCGATGTCACATAAAAAAAAAAAATTGGTTTCGGCCCCCCCGCCCCCGGATCCGCCCTTGAGGCCTTACCATCCCTGAACGAATCGGGTACCCTTTGGTTTCACTGTTGGGTCGTCAGAGAGAGTTTTCCAGTTTTTGGTCCGAATGGGATTCGGCCAACCCTCCACTCCGTAGTCCCACGCTCTAACTGCTGGGGTACGAGGCCTCCTTCTACTACTATACCTAAACAGCGAAGAGGTCTTTAACCCTCACTGGGTTTCGTCCAGGAAAATAATAAAATAATAGTCTGTGGGTTTTTTTGTTATTACTCTGCATCAAAAGCTAAATTGGATTTGTCAACTTGATTTCAAATAACGGTCTAACAACATTTGTCCGAAAACAGTGGTTCCGTTTCGATAATTTTGAAACATGTCATCAGAAGCTGCCAGTATTTCCAAAATTAAACCTCGGTTCCCTTGATCTGACTCGGCGCGTCAAACGCGAACCCTACATTTCCTTGATGTAAGCCATTTACTAATAAGTACTATAATCCGCTCAAGGACATAACAATAGCCCTTGGAACAAGTGTATCCACTTATTTTGTAACAATTTCAAGCACAAAGACTGAAAAGGTTACCAAGTGTTAGCAATGGCCCGGAGACTATACCGACGATTTTTCTCTTTTTGAGGTTTTTGACCCTAAGCGACTCGGCGCGCGCGCCACCGTTAAAACCCCCGTCACTTTGTGAAGATTTCTCTCTACTCCTGGTGTGCGCCGCTTTTCTTTGGCTTGGAGGCCCTCTTGTAAACGCACGGAGTAAATGGTCGGCGTGTATAGCCTTGATTGATTGCCGTATGTCTTCCCGTGGACCCTAGCGGTCGCGAGGCGGTCAGAGTACGCCGAAGATACGCACCTCTCGACCGGGGGCAATGGAAAGGCGGTGGACACAATTGCCTACCGGAAATCAACTCGCCTTTAGTTGGCAACAAGATTTCTACCGAACGAGACCCTGCAGTGCTCAGGCTTTGTTTAGGGAAAAAAAGACCTCAATGAACGGAGAGTGGCAAAATGAAGCGACTCCAGAGAGGACGAAAAGGATTAGGAAATCTGGTATAAAAAAACCCTTTTTTAGGATACAGGAGTCCATGAACGACAACCAGGAGAAACTTTGGTTTGAGTTTTACCCTTTTTACGTCGTCCATGCGTTTTTAGTTTATGTTTCTGTCCGTTGCTCAGCCAAGCCTAAATGGTGCAATATGTTTTGTTTTCATTATCATCATCATCATCATCATCATCATCATCATCATCATCATCATGGATCGTCTTCGAGTCGAAGGTTG